TACAAGCTTAAGAACGAGTGAGGAGAGGAGGAGGGAGAGAAAGGGAGGGTTTAACAGAGCTCAACATTCAGTCACTGCGACATTCAGGGGAGAGACAGAACGAGGAGGTTTGTGTGAAAAAAAGAGGAGGGAGAGAACGAAAGAAACAAGTGTGGGAGAGAAACATGCTTTAAAGGAATAGTTGACTCAATCCGGCACTCGTTTCAAACCTGTGTGATTTGTGAAACGCTGCTCTTTCTCGTATGGTGAAGGCATATCGTGAGACAAAGTGTCTCAAAATGACATATACTGTGGCTTCCTTAACTTTGGATGAGAAATTTTAAGGGAAAGTTCACCCGATGAAAACTCATTTACTCAACCTGTATAGTAAAGTTTATCTCTTCTGCTGAACACAAAAGAAGATATTTTGAAGAACATGGGTAACCTGACAGGTGACGGACTCCATTGACTTCCATGGTATGGAAAGGAATTCTATGGAAGTCAATGGGGTCCAAAAACTGTCTGGTTACTGACATCCTTTTAAAACATTTTTGGAACATTTTATGCATAGACGCTTTTGCTCAAAGCGACTTACTTTGCAGTCATGGTACAGATTATTTTTTATAATGATTTGATATGATACTTTTATGGTGCATGGCAAAAACAGACAAAAGCAGTGCAAATGCTGTTGAATGTCGTGCATTTTCCAATGACGCACACACAAATGAGATTTCAGAGCTTTGATGGAGGAAACTTAAAAATGGTCTTTTCATCATATGACTTCAGAAGACTGTGGCTATCGTGAGAATATACACTACTGTTAAAAAGTTTGTGGTCAATAAAAAAAAAAATGTATGAAAGAAATTAATACTTTTATTTAGCAAGGAGGATGCATTAAATTGATCAAAAGTGAGAGAAAAAAAACACTTATAATGTCTACACCATTCTTCTGAACTTACTATATATATATAAAAAAAAAAAATCAGTTTTCATAAAAATATGAAGCGGCACAATGTTTCCAACATTGAGAATATTCATAAATGTTTCTTAAAGGGATAGTTCACTTTGACATTTAATTTTTGATATGTTTTATCTTACCTCAAGGGCATCCAAGATGTAGGTGTCTTTTTGTTTCCGCAGTATTTTCAATTTTGATATTTTTAGGTCAAACTGTTGTTGTCTGTCAGTCTTATAATGGAGGTCTATGGTCACCACCTCGAAGAGCATGCACAGAGAAGTCCAAATTAAACATGATTTAATGACTCGTAAATATAAGTTCACATTGATGGCCTAAGTGATGTACACATGGAAGCAATCACTTCCGGCGCTTGCGCAGACCGCCCGCGCCCTCAGATCACATGGACGTGGTTGTGGATACAAGAGGTAAAAACTATATAAATACGGCTCGTTTTCTCAAGCAAACCGCTCGTTTCGTGTCTTAGGCCATCAATGTGTACTCACATTCACGAGTCATTAAATCATGTTTAATTTGGACTTCTCTGTGCATGCTCTTTGAGGTGGTGACCATAGACCTCTATTATATGACTGACAGACAAGAACGGTTTGACCTAAAAATATCAAAATTGAAAATACTGCGGAAACAAAGACACCTACATCTTGGATGCCCTTGAGGTAAGATAAAACATACCAAAAATTAATTTCAAAGTGAACTATCCCTTTAAGCAGTAAATCGGCATATCAGAAAGATTTCTGAAGGGTCAAGGGTCACTGGAGTAACAATGCTGACAAAATTCAGGAATAAATTGCTTTAAAATATATTACAATAGAAAACAGTTATTTTAAATTGTAATAATATTTCACAATATAATACGGTTACTGTTTGGTCAAATAAAGAATAAGAACTTTTTCAAAAATACTAAGAAATGCATAAACATTCTTCACAAATCGGATAAAAAATAACCGAGTACAGGTTTGGATCGACATGAGGGCGAGTAAATGACAGATTTTTCATTTTTTGGGTGAGCTAATCCTTTCATACAGTACTGGAGATAAATTGTGGGATATTGATGAGTGGGTGAGAGAGATGCGAGCGGACACTGGTATTCATCACACACTCGGCCTGCATGGCAACAGATGATCAAGACAGCTTATATGTGCATGGACACACACACACACCCATGCATACAGTACGCAATTAGTTGTATATAACACATCCTATGCACACAATTTTACATATTCACTGGAAACCAAGCCTTTTCAGCTGATGCACCGCGAGAGAGAGAGAGAGACAGATCTGAGCGGAGAGACAGCAGTGGCTCACACCGCATGTGTTAATATTCCACATAAGAGCCACAGATCCAAACATTGTTTTGTAATTTTTTGAAAGTGGCTGTGACATTTGCATACCCGTCTATTGGAGGCAGAGACTCGCTTTTTGCACCTGCCAGCAAACGTTAGGAACAGGCAGTAGCAGATAATCTTTCTTATGGGGAATCCATTTGACAAAAAAAAAACATCAACAGATTTTACTGGATCAACATGTACAGTTTAGTTTCTACTTGAACAAACACACACACACACACTTGGTTCACTATTTTAGTGAGGACATTGCATAGATTTCCATTGATTTTATATCAGGCGAATTATATTTTCTATGGCCTAACCCAAACACTACCCATCACGGAAACATGTTTGGCCAATTTATAAACCTTCTTAACGATCGAGGACCAGTACAAATGTCTGTTGCCTAGGCCTGTCACGATAACAAATTTAGCTGGACGATAAATTGTCCAAGAAATTATTGCGATAAATGATAATATTGTCGTTCTGAGACCATAATGATAATGGCATAATAATGCAGGTACATCTCTTCAAAGATAAACAAACTTTTATTTCTAAAGACTATTTAACACTGAAAATTAATGAACAAACCCAATAAATGAACAAAACGACCAAAAACAATAAAAGCAATGTCTCTGTTAACACAAAATGCACTTGAATAAATACCAAAAACAATAAATAGAATGGATGTAAACAAAACCCGACCCTACCCTATGATAAATCATTTGTTATTAAAGCACAAACCACTGTAAATTTAACATAAAAGCAAGCAGCTACTGCGTGAACGGTCTGGCGTGACTGAATGCGCGCAAAGTGCACTCCCTTAAAGAAAACTCTTTTAGTTTATTCTTAGCTAAAAACACTTAGTTCTTTCAAAAATATGTGTGCTCATTAATGTATATTTACTTCGTTCAAGTAATAAATCATTCTCGTGAGTGTATAATATGCCATTCGGGTAAGGGGATCTAATGTCGGTCGCCATATTGCCCCCTCCATCTTGAAAGTACATTAGCCAAAGCTTAATACAAGCTTCGCCTTTCACGTTTACGTTTGAGTTAACGCTCATGGACGAGGCCGAACTGGAAGCCATGTTAATCTTGGACTACGTTGGCCACCGTAGGAGTTAAAACGAAATCGGAATTGAGAGGAACAGAAACTAATATTCACTGGACGGTCATATACCTTTTCACCACTAGATGGGGGTAAAAATCACACAGTGTAGCTTTAATAATTCCTAAAAAGCTGACAGTTCATCGCGATCTTACACAGCAATGTTATCACCAATTAAGTTGTATATCAATATAACACTGTTATAATTCGAGGATTTGCCAGCATACAGAATTCAGCACTGACAAAATGTCAGTTTCGAGCGGTGAGGGAAGTCTATCTTAAAGGGATACTCCACTTTTTTTGGAAATAGACTAATTTTACAAATCCCCCAGAGTAAAACAGTTGAGTTTTACCGTTTTCGAATCCATTCAGCCGATTTTCTGATATTTAGAAGAAAATCTGTAACTAGACAGTTTCTGGTCTCATTGACTTCCATAGTAGGAAAAAAATATACTATGGAAAAATCGAAAAATCGACTGAATGGATTCGAAAATGGTAAAACTCAACTGTTTAACTCTGAGGGAGTTGTAAAATGAGCCTATTTCCAAAAAAAGTGGAGTATCCCTTTAAATGCTTCTGATTGGCCACTGCGTTCAAGAAATCAACACATATGTCTGTGATTGGCTACATCGCTCCGCACTGCAAACATGTTATGTATAGAAACTCTGGCCAGTAAATCGTTTCTACTTTGTTTTAGTTGCTCTTGTTGCTTTTCTGCAACAGATGAATAAAAATTTATTCGTTTTTATGTTTTATAGATATTTCTAGTTTGCGGGAGTCCTGCGAATTGTTTTATTCTCTCGCAATCCGCACACACAGAATGAGTGCGTTACCGCCAGCGCTTGGCCATCAGATCTGCCCGCCTATTACATTGGGAGTGCACGTCTCTGGATCAAGGGCCCGGCCCGAGGATAGTGACGGGAAAAATCGGCCTGACCCCAAGTTCGGCTCTGGCTCGGGCAGAATAAGCTGTAGTTCACTCCTCCTACGCTAAGGAACCGAGAGCTGTCATTCAGTCTCTTTGGTAGAGAGAGAGAGAGAGAGAGACGAGGAAAACAAACAAGCTCATTTTTTCTTCTTCTTGCGATTAATTGATTTATTGACTATCACGACAGGCCTTCTGTTGTCACCCTCTTTGGTAACACTTTATTTGAAGGGATGTGCATAAGACTGACATGACACTGTCATGAACATGACATAACACCTGTCACGAACATGAAGGAGTCTTTATGAATGTTTATGACTGTTGTCATTAAGTGTCATTCGGTAAATTATGACACTTTTAATGCAAAGTTGACATTGTTTAAAATGTCTTTGTTATGACAAATTGACATTAACCAAAAAATTATAACCTGTCACAAATATGTCATAACAGGTCTAATTATCAAACTTAAAGAAGTTATTTAGCTTTGTGTTAACATTACATTACCCTGGTCATATGTTATGGATGGTTTTAACTTTGGTTGTCATGACACCATTATAACTGAAATGAATATTTTACTTGTCCTCAAGTAAAGTGGAACACATTGTACTAGTTATAAAGATGTCATTACACTGTTATTACACTGTCAAATGCTTCAAGTAAAACCTCAAGTAAAGTGGAACACGTTGGACTAGTTATGATTTCTTGGTTAATGTCAAGTTGTCATAAAGACATTTTTTGTCTTTGTTAATGTCAAGTTGTCATAATCAAGTCATTTTTGTCTTGGTTAATGTCAAGTTGTCATAAAGACATTTTTTGTCTTTGTTAATGTCAAGTTGTCATAATCAAGTCATTTTCGTCTTGGTTAATGTCAAGTTGTCATAACAAAGACATTTTAAACAATGTCAACTTTGCAATAAAAGTGCCATAATTTACCGAATGACACTTAATGACAACAGTCATAAACATTCATAAAGACTCCTTCATGTTCGTGACAGGTGTTATGTCATGTTTATGACAGTGTCATGACAGCCTTATGCACACCCCTTCAAATAAAGTGTCACCCTACTCTTTCACTATACATTTTGGCCCTCACAAGTAAAGCCAAACCTGTACACACACACACACACACACACACACACAAATCTAAGCTAGAAATGCAAAATGCACAGCCAAAATGAAACCACGATTTTAGTTCAGTTTTTAATTTATATATTATATCAACAAGGAGTTTTATTCTGAACACATATTTCTACTGTACCTAAAGTATTTAGAAATTATGGAATATTAATTTACATAAGTTTGATGTCAGTCGTTTTTATTTTGAAAGAAAGAAATAAATACTCTTATTCAGTGAGGATGCATTCAATAATTGAACTTTCTATTCATCAAAGAATCTGGAAAAAAAATGATCTCAGTTTCCACAAAAATGATCATCATATTAGAGGATCATGTAAAGCTGAAGACTGGAGTAATGATGCTGATACTGCATATATAAGATTTTAAAATCATTTCTACACAAGTTTAGCTATATAATTTGCTGATCATTTAATTAAAATATAATTGTTAAAATATTATTAAATATTACAATAATTGTAAACCAGATAAATGTCTGCTTAATTCGAACTGAAATACTCATATTCAATTGCATTTAACATCGTAATATGTGAACACAGATTTTGTTCTGTTCCCACCTGGGCACTTCGAGGCCATCGTACGTTCCTACTGTGTAATGACGAAACAGTTTCCTCTTCGCCTTCTCACTGCGGCTCTCTGAAACACACACACACACACACACACACACTCCGACTGTTAGCACATGTAGGCGTGTATATCTGTGTAAGTGGAAGTGTGATGTATTCAAATCGATGTGATTTTTGCATATTTGTGTGTTATGCGCATGAAGATTATGTGAGTAGGCAAACCACCACAGGGAAAAGCTCTTGGGGACGTCCTCAAAAAAAGAGAACAGGACCCATAAAGGATTCATAAAGAAATTAATTCACTGTTGTGTTTCAGGATTACGGTTACAGAGTCCCTACAGCGGGAGTGATTCTCTGTTAACTCCCTGAAACGCCTCCATTGTGGTCTTGAGTTTTCTTCCGGGAACAAACACGTCACAATATTCCTCATTTAAATAATTAATGCGCAGAATAAAGGGGGCGGGGCCTGGTTGAGTTAGGCGCAATCACATCAAACGAGTTTTTCAGGTTCGAAAACGTGAGGTGCACAGCATTTTTTTTTACGTTGCTAGGAAATAACGACATGTTAGCCTTTTATCAACTTTATTTACTTTCTGTTAACGAAGTCGTTAAACTCCTGGTAACCCGAGACAGCCACCACATGTTTATCCTCCATCATTGCAGTGTCTGGACATTCAAAGCAACTGTAGCTTTCGTCATTACAACGGAAGGCCCGCCTCTCCACTCATTTGATTGGACAGTGTAAAAAAAAAAACGCAATGGGTCCAGCTGACCAATCAGAGCACAGTGTGCATTTCAGAAGGAGGGGCTTCATCGAGTCAGGAACTAAACAGAGCGTTACTGACAGACTGGGAAGAGAGGAGCCGCAACAATGAAGAATATGAGAAAAAAATCAACATTCAAGCAGGAAAATCGATTCTAGTAGAGACAAAACAACATTAAGACTTTGTAAAATAGCATAATATGGTCTGTTTACTTTAAAGGAGTAGTTCACTTTTAAAAAAAACTTTTGCTGATGATTTACTCACCCCCATGTCATCCAAGATATCCATGTCTTTCTTTCTTCAGTCGAAAAGAAATGAAGGTTTTTGGTGAAAGCATTCCAGGAGTTTCTCCATATAATGGACTTCAATGGGGTCCAAACGGTTCAAGGTCCAAATGAGAGTTTCAGTGCAGCTTCAAAGGCCTTTAAACAACACTAGACGATGAATAAGGGTCTTATCAAGCGAAACGAGCGACCATTTAAAAAATAAATAAAAAAGTTTAAGTTTCATAAGCTCAAATGCTCGCCTTGCTCTGTTCTGTGATGCACGTTCGTGACTCTCCTGTTCGAACTCGTTAATCAAAATGAACAAATCTTTTTTCGAGTCATGACTCGAAGGGTCCTAGATAAGATCTTCATTCAGTCTGGTGTCGTTTAAAGCCTTTTGAAGCTGCACTGAAACTCTCATTTGGACCTTGAACCGTTTGGACCCCATTGAAGTCCATTATATGGAGAAAATCCTGGAATGTTTTCATCAAAAACCTTAATTTCTTTTCGACTGAAGAAAGAAAGACGTGGACATCTTGGATGACATGGGGGTGAGTAAATTATCAGCAAAAGTTTTTTTTTAAAGTGAACTACTCCTTTAAGTCCACATTTAGATGGGTCAGCAGAAGAACTAGCATTCCCAGTTTTGTTTAAACTTTGTCTCAGATGTTTCTTCTAGTCCTTTTACTGTTTACCTTGAGAGAAAAATTTGATGAGAAAAAGTTTGAGTTCATATCGAGATCTTTGACTTTTCTTTCAAGGACCTCTACAAACCTGAGCACTGTTTGAGACTCCGAATAAAAGGAGTCTTTGCTGTCTAGGTAGTAGGGGTTGAACCGACTAGTCGATTAGTCGACTAGTCGACCTTAATGCAATGCCGTGACGCTTTTAGCTTGACGTCGACTAGTCGCGTTGATCATGTGACACTATGATTGCGCTAATTTTAATAGTATATGGCCGCGTTAAAGACGACAACAGATGAAGAGCCCAGGAGGTCATTGCAGCAAGAAAGCAGCATTGGCACATAAAGCGTATGGGAATAGTTTACTAACGCACCACTATATTGTTGAAAACGAAAGTAAAAGCATGACGCACGCGGGAAATGAGAGCAGTGTCTTTTAAAATCATTCAAACATTAGCCTATTTTTTTCATATATTTATTACATATTAATGCATCTAATTCACCCGCAATCAATAGGAATATTATTTGGTACTACTTAGATCCATCATTATTAACGTGCAGATGTGAATTTATAGCTTTTTTTTTCTTTTCATCCTGATTATGTAAACAGCAGGCTGTTTAGTTACATCTGGCCACTTCACGTGTTTCTGTGACCTGATTGCCATCCGATCGCGAAAAGACCAGGTATAAGCTAAATGCCCTCCAAATGCATTGGAGACGGATATTTAAATCCGATCGCTCAAACCACTTCATGAGGAGGTCTGGGCCGCACGAAACTGGACTCGTGTAAAGGCATCTGGTTGTTGAAACCGCATTTGTAAATTGGACTTCTCCCAAAAATGCTGAAATAAAACGTGTGAGAGCAGCCTGTGCTATTATTTCATGACGAAGCTATAACACGCACCGCAGCTGAGCATCTATTCATAAAGTCAACGTGCAAACTATCGTAAATCAAAGTGAAAGTAAGTCACAGACAATCATCCTCGTTAAAAGTAAAGAAACAAAATGATCTTACCAGTGCTGTCTCTCTTATTGGGCTCTTTGATTTTGAAATTAGCTGACAATCAATAAAATGCAGCTCATTACTGTTGCTTTCAGTGACGTGAACTCCGTTAAAGCTGCATATAGCGCGTTGTTTGAAGATCGGATGCGAAAACATATTTATGTGACCAGGTGTAATGAAATCGTTTTGATAAATCAGGTCAGTAAAAAAGCATGAAGTGTGCAGGTGTAAACGGCCCATTATGAGCTGTCAGCGTCTGTATAATTTTCTGTTAATTAACTGCAAATTGTGGCATGTTGCAAATCTATCACATCTCTTGTGTTTTTATGAATGACGTCAGCGACTAGTCGACGTCGACTCGACTTTGATGTCATAACAGTCGACTTCAAAAAATCTGAAGTCGTTCAACCCCTACTAGGTAGGCGACAAAATTGAGATATTAAAGAGAGTTCAGGTGTGTGTTTGTTCATGTACACTACCTGTGTGCTGCTCCTGGTTTTGGGGCTGCACCTCTTCTACACATTCAGCAGGAAACCAGCCAGTGCGGCCCTTCACTGTTCCTTCCCAGAATCCTCCTTCACCTACACTCAACACTGAGAGCGAGAAGAGTTTGACAGCACTTTAGTAGATATTAAATATGTAATGATAACATTAATCGGCATATGGAAGGCAGTTGAGTGAAACTGAACAAGACGAAAATGTAAGATTTTTTCATGCAAGATTTTTACATTGACTTGAAGAGAACGACATAATGAGAAGGATCATCTGACCTTTGACCTTGTCCCCTTTGCTGAAGCTGATCTCGCGCTCACCGTGAGCGGAGTGAGATCGTGACGCCACAAACACGCGGCCTGGGACGGCACTGTAGAGCCTCTTCCTCTGACCTCCGCCCCCTCTACAACCGACACACAGAAACACACAGACTGATAACAGTTCACTAACACTAAAACTGTTGCCTTGTTAACGGTCATCTCCCTATTTCAGCACAAATCTGACCTTAAATGGCTGTGGCTCATAAATGCTTAGGAATACAGATCTATTTTTAAAGACACTTAAGATTATTGCAGAAGTGAAAGCAGCTTCAAATAATGAAAGTGTACAAATGTTATAGAAGTTTAAGTTTACTCTAAAGCAAATGAACTGAACTATATATATATGTCTAACCCAGTTGTTACAAATTAAATGTTGATATGGCAAAAATTGAGCCTGCTTAAAAGGTTTTAAAGTACTGTGTCCAATGTAATGCAATGTCAAACTTCAAAAGTTTTCACAAAAATTTTAGCTTTTGAATGATACCAAACTTATGATGATTTCTGAAATATGTGATAGGGGAAAATGGCAATATAAAAAGTGTCCTGCTAGCAAAACACTGATTGTTAACAGTCTAAAATTGTTTTCAGAAATTCAAATAAAGCTGAAATAAAATAAGATAAAATGATAAAAAATTTAAGTTGCCTAAACAAATAACTGAAATAAGTTTTAGTAAAAATACTAAAACTAAAATAAATATAAATTAGAGCTGCTGTATATAGAATTTTTTTTTTAAATTGACAAAAAAAAAAAACTTAAACTTTGTATTTTTTAAACTTTGTGTAAAATTGTTTTCCGAAATTCAAATAAAGCTGAAATAAAATAAGATAAAATGATACAAAATTTAAGTTGCCTAAACAAATAACTGAAATAAGTTTTAGTAAAAATACTAAAACTAAAATAAATATAAATTAGAGCTACTGTATATAGAATTTTTTTTTTAAATTGACAACAAAAAAAACTTAAACTTTGTATTTTTTAAACTTTGTGTAAAATTGTTTTCCGAAATTCAAATAAAGCTGAAATAAAATAAGATAAAATGATAAAAAATTTAAGTTGCCTAAACAAATAACTGAAATAAGTTTTAGTAAAAATACTAAAACTAAAATAAATATAAATTAGAGCTGCTGCATATAGAAATAATAAAAAAAAAATAGACAAAAATACAAACTTAAACTTAAAATGTTGCCCTGACAACAAACTAAAATGACTAACCTGAAATACAAAATCTGATGAAATGACAAACACATTAAATGAAGACTGAAAATATAAAAATAAAAGTTATTAAATACTATATTAATACTATATTATATATACAGGACTAAAATAAGAGTGAAAAGACAGCAGAATACAAAAACACAATAATGTGAACATGCAGGCATAAAGTTTTATCTTATCCAAAGTAATAAAAATGGAGTAGGTGGGTGACTTTGTGCATTAGAGCCAATTTATAATGTTGGCTTGGCTTTATTCATAGGGTAAGTGTCCAAGGATTTTGTGCAGGAATGTGATTGTAATAACTCCTTAATATTTGGATATCATCCATTATTGAACACCATGGGAAACCACCATACAGAAATAAGTGATTATTTCTAGGACTAGGATGTAACCAAATGTAAATGTATCCCAGTCTAGTGTGAATATAGACTCCATAGAATGAAGCTTTTAGCCAGATGATTGAATCTTTTACACAGTGGACAGTGTTTGCTTCTAACCCACTGAGTAAGAATTAACTCAGTATGGCAGCGGCACTTTGGCCAGAAGCCTAACAGTGCAAAACAGTGAGTCAGAGCTTCTGTAATGCTAACATGAGAGAGCAACAGAAATCAGTGCTGACATTTAGCATGTAAAAAACCCACAATGGTAGTGGTAAGGGTCTAAACACGTTTTAACACTTGAAATGTGATGTTTAACAGCAAATGTGCTCTAAACTACACTCTGAATCTATGGAGGAATATAAATGGATGATAACATTTCACCCCAAAAGCAAAAGAAAGAAATAAGAAATGACATTTTGCTTAAAATAAAGCAACGCTGTTTTAGGGCCATTAAAAAGTGTCTCATTTAAGCTCATTTTCCTTTCTCATTACTGTAAAGCATTGAGACATTTTACTTTTTTTTGTAATTTCCTTTATTCTTAATTGCAATTCTTTTTAGGTCCTCATTATGTTTTGTTTTATTAAAAAAATAAAGTTTAGCATAAATAAATAACTACAGTTGATCAGAAGCTAATAATTAATCAAATCATTAAAAAATGAAAAATAAAAAAACGAACATGCAAATATTTTGTTAAATTATTTAATTTATTATTAATTAAACTCTCAGTGGGTTTGGAAATCCCTGTATTACAGTAGGAAAACTGTGCTAAATTATTATGAAAATAATGTTGTGATGTAAAACAAATTAATTTGCTTTGACTTGAATTTGAATTTGGTTTGAAATATGACCCGGAAGAGTTCCTGACAGCCTGAGATTGTTTAGTCACCAAAGGCACGTTTACCAGCGTGGAAATCATACGACGGGGTAAATACACACACAAAAAAAGAAGGTAATTACAACCCAGAGGCATCCTGGGAAATTCATTTATTTATTTATGATGCCCTAAGGTGATTCTCATTTCCATCGGTTTGAACTTGGCTTAAAAACAGCTCATCCTAGCAGGAGTCGCTCTTGTTGCGTGTGCTTTACGCCCGCTGAGAGCCTGATGATTGATTTTGTGGCACAAGCTGAACTGTTTTTCCCAGTCCGTAAGATTTGTGCTGTATGTCATGATTTGCTGTGTGCTTTACGAGCGGTTTGTGAGAGAAAACGAACCGTATTTATATCGGTTTTACCTCTTGTTAATACAGCCACAAAGCGCCCGCGCCCGAGGTAAAAACGATATAAACACTGTTCGTTTTCTCACACAAACCGCTCGTTTCGTGTCTTAGGCCATCAATGTGTACTTACATTTACGAGTCATTAAATCATGTTTAATTTGGACTTCTCTGTGCTGCTCTTTGAGGTGGTGACCATAGATCTCCATTATATGACTGACAGACAAGAACGGTTTGAATATCAAAATTGAAAATACTGAGGAAATAAAGACACCTACTTCTTGTAAGCTAAAACATACCAAAAATTAATTTCAAAGTGAACTATCCCTTTAAAATCATAAATGTTGCCTTGGCGATTAAGCTGAAGCACTAAAATTACTAACTGGAAATAAATAAAAACTAAAACTGTTTTAAAACAGAATAAATCAATTAAACCTAAACGGCAGAATATTTTTTTATTTTTGAAAAACAAAGACAACAAAAGCACATAACAAAATTACTAAAAATTTGACTAAATGTAACAAAGCTAATTCAAAATATAATTTTATTTCAAATATATTTTTATTTTTTATTATTTTTCAAATTTGTATTATTCATTAATATTAGTCTATTTATTTTATTTCTGTGTTCAGTGAATTGGTTTGTTCAGATGGTTAGTGTAAATGAAATAAAAAAAAAAATCACTGATTTGTTTCAACAATTCATTGAGACTCAATTATAATTATAATTGAGTCTCAATGAATAGTTGAAATGAATCAGTGAATATTTGAATATATATATAGAGTTGCATTTTTACTTTTATTTAGTGTTGTTGGATGAAAATTATGCAACAACAAACCGAGTGAACCTGCCAAATCTGACAAAAATAAACTCTTCGGAGGATTTTTACAGGTTCTGCTTTTGAAAATCATCACGGCAATGTCCAAAGACGACCATTTTTCATGTATCCATGCTCACCCCTGCCTCCCGCGCTGCTTTTGCTGTTTTTCCTGCTTTTCCTCCTTCTCTCCTCCCTCCCTCCCACGAGACGGGGACCGGGTTCGGGCTCCACGGGGACTGCTGGAGCTCCTCAAAGCGAAAGAGGCCCGGCGTTGAGTCTGATTGAAACGAGAGAAAACGAATGATTTGGCGACTGATGTCTGCAATTGTGTGTTCCCTTGATGGCCAGCAGGGGGTTAAGGGCTACCTGAGCAGGTGGCATGCTGGCGGCAGCGGTGGGCATCACTACGGGATCCATGAGCGTTGTCATCGTGTTCTCGCTCTTGGCGCGGAGCAGCGGGTGAGGATGCTGAAGGCCAGCCGTGATGGGCTGATTCAACACAGCGTCCAGAAAGTGAGGAGCGTATTTGGGAGTTTCCAAAAATGGAACTGATGGGAAAGAAAATAAAAGATTAAAGGAGAAGAGGTTACATACAGATGGGCTCTGTTCCAAAACTTAGTGAGCTGCCTTGATGTGTGCAGTCTATATAGGCATCTGCCTTCTAGGGAACTTCAAAAGCAAGCAATTTGGAAAGAGTAGACAGGCAAAAACTAAGTACACGATAAACACGACACTGTTCCTGACAGAGTCATTTTAGCATGTATTTTTGCACATTTCTATTTAGCCGTAATTCATTTTTAATTTTATCAATTTTAGTTCTTAAACGTCAACTTATTTCAGTCAGTTGCCAAAGCAACATTTCAATTTTTTCCTCTAATATTTATGTTATTTTATTTAAGATTTTTTTTTTCAAAGAAAAATCACTACAGTACCTACTACTTAATGCACAAAACACAATTTTTTTTTTATTAGATTAAACTGGATTAAATTAGATTAAACTAAAAAGTTTTAATTAGATTAAACTGCTGTTCATCTCTAGTTTGTTTTTTTACACGTCACAATTTTGGCTTCTTGAGACCTTTCAAGACAACACAATCACACCACTGATGTCCTAAAGAGTGGCCTACATTAGACTTCGGTATACTTATCATTTCTTTCCGTCATAAAGAGGCACACTCACCAACATCTGCATCATTGTGATTTTTGATGACTTCTCCAAGTTCAAAATGGCCCGACATCACAGCAACCTGAACAAAAAAAACAGCATTGCAATGTACTTTGCAACAATGCAATCTTTAATTTGAGGATATGAGGACAAGCATTGCAAGCTGCGTTCTAAGAAACAAGCACTTGCGTTTATAATAAGTCATGTGATAGCACAGTTACCTGGAAGGGGGTTTGACCATGTTTGTTCTTGATCTCCTTACTGGCTCCTCGGTAAAGAAGGACCCGAACGCAACTCTCCTGAATGGACAGAGGAGATGTTGTCAATCATTAGTCATTAGACTAATTACCGTAAACTAAAACCATTGAAACATTTTGTTAATTGAAATAAAGCTGAAATAAAATAAATATTAGACAAAAAAAATTCAGAAGAAATTAGCAATGTTGCATTGACAATTAAAGGCCTCGTTTACACTGCAGGTCCTGATGCCCAACTCAGACTTTTTTGACCATCCGCTTACACGTTCTTATTGTGACCCATATCCGATTCATGTGTTTACACTTGACTTTACTATCTAAAACATCGCGCATGCTTAAAGGCGATTCTTGCACAGATGGACGAACGCAAAATATGCTTGATGCTAGCTGTGTTATATACATAAGTTCACCAAACATCACCATGATTTTGAGTCGGAGGAGGATGAAAAGGGCCATCACTGCAGCCTGCGCATATGCTTCAGTTATTCAGATCTCAGGACTGGTGGGAACATACAACACGATCTCATTAAAGTGCGTATCTATACCATTAATTTGATTTCTCATGCCATTTATACTCAAAAATAGTTTTTGCGTGTATCATATGCATGCAAAAACAGTGTATCTTATGCATGCGAAAACTATTGAGTCAAAGTGTGTCCATATTCCTGTCCTACAACGACACGTCGTTCCGTTGCTCTCGTCATTAAACCGCGGAGACGTCGCCTAATGCCTCCGAAAATCCGATCTGCCTGTTTACATGACAGTCGTATTGGCACATATCTGATTTATTTCCACATATGAATGAGGCCTAAAACCGATCTCGAAATATCAACGAATGCATGCTTTTTTCCTGTTTACACGGTCATAGAACACATCCGATCTGTGTCACAAATGAGCAAAATATCGGAATCAGGTCACAAGGCCTAACTGAAATAAGTTTAACTTTAACTAAAACTGAAACTGAAATAAAAAATAAAATTAAACCTAAATTGTAAATTGGTACACCAAAATAAATGACAAAAAATTTGAATAAACTGGAGGGAAAAATAAAGCTAATTCAAAATATTAATAAAAAGATATAACAAAAATAACACGAGACTAAACTAAAAATACTAAAATTAAAGCGAATTCAAAATATTAATAACAACTACTAAACATTTTGTTTATTGAAATAGTGAAATAAAACCTCGATCACCTTGTTGTAAAGGGCACATATGTGGAGGGCAGTGTTTCCTGATGCATTCTGGGAAGTGGTGTCCGCACCATAGAACAGAAGGTGCTCTAAGTGTTGGGCAAATCCATGCTGGCACGCCTACAGTTGAGTGAACAAAACACAGAGGTTAAAGAAATTAGTGGGGAAAAAGTCTGAAGAACAGGGAAAAAATAGAGGAGCAACCTAAAGAGGACAGGAAAGACAGCACAGTATTACAGTCACTCATAGATTAGAAGACAAGAACAGTGCTGGACGCCTTCCTTTTGTGAAGGTTATTACTGAAAATAATATTGCTGCATCTTGTTGAACCTAAAATATATTATTATTATTATTATACTCTTTTTCATATGAACAGCTTAAAATTTCAACATTTTTATATTACCGGTATTACTTAATTATGTTAAAGGTGCATTGCGCAACATTTCATGTTAAAAATAGCCGTTTTTCTAACGATTGTCTGATGTAATGAATGAGCCCTTCTCTGATTTAACTTTTTTTTTTATTTCAGTTTCAGTTTTAGTTAAAGTTAAACTTATTTCAATTGCCTCTATAATCCTGGACAGTGAAATAAATGAGAGGGATTTGGGACGGATTTGACGTCATGCGGCGTCCTGAATTAAATATAAGGTCAATAATTGATATCTAATAGCCTCATAATGTGCATACAATACTCAAAACAACTTCTTTCAGCCAATGCAACTGCTTTGGGGTCCGACTGAAATGCACGACAGTGTATGAAAAATCTTGGCCGGTTAACAGACGTGGCATTCCCTCTTTGAGCATAATTTGTAAAATAAGATCTACATATCTGAATTTGTGTGCCACACACGTCCTGAAAAGAGAAGCCAAAGCATTTCGGTACATGTCCTCCAAATACCTCCTCAGTACATGTCATAAACCCCGCCCTCTCCATGTAATCAAATAGGATGCAAGTAGGGTTGGGTATCGAGAATCGAGTATCGATTGGAACCGAGACTAACTTTTCGTTTTTCCCGGAATCGTTCAAAAGTTAAAATTTCGATTCCTAGTTTCGATATTCACAGTCCGCCGAGCGGAAGAAGAAACCGCTGAACAACACCAACGAAGAAGCGTCTACCGGAAGTGTTGGCATAACCACGCGAGTCGAACATGAGTAGCTTACGTCGGCGATCCAAAGTGTGGCTTCACTTTTCTAAAAATAACGAAATCTCGGCAAAATGCAAAATTTGTGACAAAAGGAGTATTTCTACAGAAGGAGTATTTCCTTCAGAAAGGACGTTGGTTAGCAAGGTTAGCTAAACTTTTTTTAAAACCTGCCTCTTAGAAGAATCGGAATCGAGAATCGTTAGGAATCGGAATCGAAACAAGGAATCGGAATCGGAATCAGAATCGTTCAAATTCAAACGATACCCAACCCTAGATGCAAGCCAAACTAAAAAAATCCAATAACACTTCAAATATTATTTCCCAAAGATGGTTTTAAGTGCTACAGCAGACATCCATTCAATGGTTTGTTTTTCCAATAGGTTTGGATTTAGTTGCTGTTTAGTTGGTGTAACGTCATGATTGACAGCTGTGTGTGAAAAGGACCTTGAATTCATTTTTAATTTTATATTTTCCAGTAATATTACAAGTTAACATGTATTATATTATAAAGGTAAGCAACAAATTTTCTTTTATGGTTCTAGTTTTAGTTTACTACAATAATCCTGCCCTGCTCTCTAGATATTCAGTACTGGTCATTAAAAAGCCCATATCGTTTGTCTGAACCTCATTAAATTCCTCCTAAATGGGCCAGAAGCTCAGAATGAAATCTCTGCCTTAACTCAAGTGATGTATGTACTCGGCTCTCAGGGTGTTGTGGGAGTCGCCCCATCATCATATCATGGTGTGTGGGTAACTGGCAGGTAGGTGGTTGTGAATTGGGGAAAAGAAACTGTATTCATATATTTAAGAATTAAAAAGAGAACCTTTCGTTTAATATCAAGCAAAGACAGACATTAGAAGACGATGAATGAAATGAGAGATGAGAGATGGGTACCTGTGAACTTCAACCTCTCCAAACGTCTCTTCATGTCTGATCTATGGAGAGAGACACAGAGAGAGAGAGAGACAGGGGAAGACTATGGACGGTGTCTGACAGTTGATTCAAAAGCACCTAGATGTTGTTCTTCATTTGTTGAAGGCTTGTATATGGTTAGCTGTGATTGGGTGGAAGAGATTCATGTAGTTTCAGTCTCATGACATTGGTGGTGTAGTGTTTATATCTCAGGGTCATTGCTAGCAATGAACTTTCAGTGTTGTGCCTTGACGCAAAGCACTTAACTCCAGGTTGCCCCAGGGAGACATGAGCTGAACTAAATACTGGAAGATGTTTCGGATAAAAAACAGGATTTTACATTAGACGACATGTACAGCCCTGATACAACCATCCTGAATTTTGATTATTGTTGTTTTAGTATTATTTATATATTCTAATAAAGATGTTTTAGTAATTTTGTTCTGTGCTTTTGTGCTTTCTCTTTTTTTAAAGGGCTCATGACATGGCTTTATATGCTCTTGTAAAAGTAATTCTCAGTCAATTTAAGTTATTTTAATATGTTCCTTAAGGTAAATTTTTAATATTAGTAAAGTTTTTTGGGTTTTTTTTGCAATATAAATGGGGAAAATGTATTATGTTCAACCTTTAATTTGACCCTCTGTTTGAAATGATTAATTGGTAACACTTTACAATAAGGTTCATTTATTAAACATTAGTTAATGTATTAACTAACATGAACTAACCATTTGTTACTGTATTTGTTAATCTTTGTTAACGTTAGTTAACACAAATCCAGCTGTTCATTGTTTGTTCATGTTAGTTCACAGTGCATTAACTAATGTTAACAAGATTTTAATAAAGTATTAGAAAATGTTGAAATTAACATTAACAAAGATTAACAAATGCTGTAGAAGTATTGTTCATTCTTAGTTAATGTAGTTAACTAATGAACCTTATTGTAAAGTGTTACTGATTAATTTCTTAAATTTCAATTTTATTTCAGGCTTGTCATAAACAGTCACTGATTGGCTAAGGTCATTGCATTGGAAACAATATCAACGGCCATTTGCTTTTCTCCAATATTTTAAACCAATTAACTAACAAGCCTTGCATTTTACTTGCATTTTACTCCATCTTTATTTTTAGTTTACAACCCATTGAGTTTTTCATTTTGACATTTTGGTGTGTAATAAGGTTATAAGGATAAAGGTTGAGGAATCCCATCCTTTGACACCCGACGATATCTTCGACAGAGGATAAACACAGTCTAGTTGCTTACGAATACAGACACTCAGTGATGACCATGATGAAACACTCAAGCATGCGCAGGTGTTTAAAATCACAAAAGCAACAATCATGAGAGTTCAAATGTTGTTATTTAATCAAACATAAAATGCTTAAGGCTATTTCTAGTATTGTTTCTATTATAATTAAATGTGGGCCATCAAAGATGTGCAACAGGACCACAGTCTGGCCTTGGAATGAGAAATGTATGGATGCTGATTGGTTTAAAGAGGAAATTTAGCAGCCATATATAGAGAAATGAAAAGAGAACCAAAAAAAAAAGAGAGAATGATGTGTGATTATAAACAAAAACCCACCAAAACGGACACATGCATGCACACATATAAACAAAGAGTCCATAATCTCAGATATACATTATTTCCTTGTGTTTAAGACTAGTGACACAAACCTGGTGTGACTCGTCCCAGCCGTTCTCATCTCTGACTCCCAGTTGTGCTCGATAGTACAGCAGAGTTTCACAACAGGACGTGTCGCCCCCTGTCAGCACTGAGTGGTACAGCGGCGTCAGACCACAGCGGTCTCGATAATCCGGAGAAGCACCCAAAGACAGCAGAGCCTGAAAATGGGATAGACGTGAAGAGCTATGCACATTAGGAGTTTTGTATTTGTCATCATAAATTTTCTCTGCAAATCATGATCACGATGACAAGAAAAACGAACCCTTTCAAATGACAATTTTTACATTTTCATGACTAAAAGTGCCCCTAATATGCTTTTTCAGGTGTTACCTTTCATGTAGTGTGTAATAGAGCTGTTTGTGAAAGTAAAAGGTCTGCAAAGTTTCAGAGATAAATGGAGTTATTGTCTCCCGAAAGAAAGAACTGAAACGAGTCGTCAGTAATTCCAGTCTCACTTCCTGCTCGAACCTACGAAGGTTTGTAACAAATGTGTAAATGCTAGCCTGTGGTCTTCATCTACTGCCCGCGAACAACATCTACTTTGGCCCTCAAACACTGCAGTTGTAGCGGAGACTGGAGTTTGGTTTGTGTTACCGTCAAAACGAGAAGATGCTGTTTTCTGTGCTAATCAACTTTAATAACCTTCCAAAAGATGTGAACTCGAAAAAACGACGCCATCGTTACTGTTCGTATCACTGTGTTTCAAGTGCTGAGGAAGATCTGAAGCTATAATTCAGATATGGAAATGGGTGTTAGGTAGGGTTGGGAATCAAGAACCAGGTCTTTTCCAGAACCGGTAGTGTTTTTGAAAAAAATACCGGAACCGTGCAAAATTCCTAAGTTTTGGTTCCTAAAACGGTTCTGGTGCGATATGAGGGCGAAGTCCTGGGAGTAGATTATCCTTTAGCGTCTCACCTCAAGGCGCAGACAGAGAGAGAGAGTAGAGCTGCATGATTAATCTTTAAAAGATTTCAATTCAAACAACAACACCGTCTTATTCCTAAATGACAAAAACTTCACCACTGAAGTTGCGATTTGCTCTCACACGCGCTGCATTTATAGTACACACGCGCGCGCGCCGAGTCACGTACATTCAAATCTGTTTGCGCTGAGAGAGAGAGAGCAGTTGTCGATATGAAACTGCTTTATAATCACACAGTATCAATATTTATGTTACACATATTCAAATGATTAACGTTACAGAAGTAGTGAGATTGGGAGATAGTTTGAGTAAACATTGATGGTAGTAATCAAAACGCAGTCCATTGTTCAGAATTTACAACATGTATACAATGAGCGAGTGCATCATGAATGCCTTTTTTCAAACCGTGTTTTTGTCTTCTCTTGAATCACTACGTAATAATGCACGTCTTTATGAATCAATAATTCAAACTAAAGATTGTTTTTAAAATTAATCTGTTCTACACACATATGGGTTTTAAAGCATATTCTACCCCTTCTGAGAGGGTGTCACTGTTGGAGATACAATAAAGGAGAGGTCCAAAATTATTCTAGAGAATGCAGAATTTTTTAATTTCCTTTTTATTTTTTTTATTTTTTTTTTTTGCAAAGATTGATTAATAATATGTTGAAGGAATTCAAAATTTAGCTTGGAATGAGTAGAGGTAATTTTGGGTTGGATGTTATTATTAATTTTGTTATTATATTATTTTTATTATTTTTTATTATGATTATTTTTCTAAATGTATTTATTTATTTGTATATGTGTCTGTAGACTTTACAAGTAAACCCCTTAAAGGTTTCTTCGATTGACAAGGATAACAAGTAAGGGATTCAGATGGAGGTTTCATGTTTTGCTTGCAGATTTGATTTATGATGTGTTCTTCCCTTTGTTTTTGTTTTCTTATTTAAATGTCTTGAAAAAGCCCTGTAATGCCTAAAATTGCAATAAAAAAAAAAAATAATAATAATAATATGTTGAATTTGTTTACATTACCAGTCTGTTAAACTAATTTTTCAAGTACTGTATGAAATAAACACGAAAGGGATTGAGGATTTTTCTCTTACTAATATTTTTCATTGAATGGGAACCGGAACTGGAACCGGAATCGTTTGGCGGAACCGGAACTGGAACCGGAATCGTTTGGCGGAACCGGAATTGGAACCGGTGTTCTGCCAATTTTTGCTGCCTTGTCGAAAAATGCTACCGTAGCGCGAATTGATCACAGAATGCCGATTAAAGTCGTATGAAATACAATTATAATACAATTCTAAGTTATGAGTAGCTACTGTATACTAGACTACTGTTTTATTTTTAAAACGGTGCGAAAAGTAAAAATAATCATAAAATATTCATCTTTGACTTGTCAAAGCACCTTTCCTCATAGTAACGGAAACTTTCAGTCATTCCTTTTTTGCTGGCTGACCGTACAAATATTCATATGATAGTAAGCATTTTTTAAAGGGAAATTATACATTATAACAGGAAAATATACCTTTTGTAAAAAAAAAACTAAAAAAAAAACGCACATGCGCATAACCGGTAAGTAGCAAATCTCGATGGGTAGCATGAATTGTCAGAACACCGGAACCGGAAAATTTCTCATGATTCCCAACCCTAGTGTTAGGTTTCCTACACAGGCTGTAAGCGATCGACCAATCACAACAGACTGAGCTGTCTGACCAATCAGAGCAGAGTAGACAATCCCAAGAGACTGGGCCGTCTGAGAGCAGAGCAGAGTAGGCCAATCATAACAGACTGAGCCATCTGACCAATCAGAGCAGAGTTGACCAATCATAACAGACTGGGCCATCTGACCAATCAGAACAGAGCAGCTCTCGGAAAGGAGGGGTTTAGATAGACCGAAACATTTATCGAAACGATTCAGACACTGTGGGAATACAGGTGATGCTGCAATATATATTATGAGAAAATGAAAGTGTTTCTTGGTTGCATGTAAACCTGTTGTAGGAGACTTTAAAATAGCATAATAGGGACACTATAAGAGAGAAAAAAACTACTTTGCACCTCAAAAGCATTTTGTTCAGTCGTGCTGTGAATGAACTGCGTGTGTTTGTACCATCAGTGTGGATTGGTTGTGTGCTCTGACTGCTTTGTGGAGGGGTGTGAGTCCGTCTCTGGATCTGAAATCCACATGAGCTCCGTTCAGCACCAGAACACGAATCCCTTCCACGCTCAGACAGCCCTGAACCGCCAGAGTCAGAGGCGTCTCTGAGAGACAGACGGAAACAGACACGGACATTACAGATGCAGAAGAACAGCTTGATTTAAGAAGAACAGGCAACATGCTAAATGTTAAAAAGGCAAACATGAGAAGGATTAAAAGTGACCAATGAGCTGCAGGATTACTGTGACATCATCATAATGCCTGTGAGCGACATAATCAACTCTTGCTTATTCTTAGCATCAATGCAATTAGTGCGTTGAACGTCACATCCAATAAATAGTATCCTCTCGAAGAAAAAACACGACAGATGATGAGAATAGACCAAGAAGAACATAACGGCTTCGAGTCTACGGTTAATGAAATGAGACGATTCTGACAGCAACACAATGACGCTCATCAGAGCTGAAAATGTCAAAGGTTTAAACATAATCTCCATGCAATATACATCAACTAAACTACATCGGTGGTTCTCGATTCCCTTCCTCGTACCCTCCCGCTCTGCACATTTGGCATGCATCTCTTATCAGTTCAGAGATTTGCTCAATTCGACTGTGAGTGCCCTGCAAAGTGGACTTCTCAAGGGTGAGTGAGATTTCAATCTGAAAGGAGCGTACATGTTCAGTTCATTCTGCTAATGGCATAGGGAACATCGATACGCCAGGACTGGGATTGAGAACCACTGTATTACATAATATATGCAATCTAGGCCAAAAAAAAACAAAACAGATCTAACTTCCAGGATCACACTGATTGCCCAAATAATATGACTGCACTTTTTTCCTCATGAAATTTCATACTCAAGAGTTTATATAATCAAAGCACTTCAAAAAGGGTAATGCAAGCTCATTTAAAGGGATAGTTCACCCAAAAATGAAAATTCTGTCATGATTTACTGACCCTCAAGTGTTTCTCTCTTCTGATGCACGTTTGTGACTTCTCCATCAAAATGAACGAATCTTTTTCCGAGTCAATTCAGTCGTTTTGTTCGTTGAATGAACCAAATGACTGGGAAAAAGATTCGTTCATTTTGAAGAACAGGAGTCACAAATGTCCATCACAGAACAGAACAAGGCGACCATTTGAGCTTATAAAACTTAAACTTTGTTATTTATTAATTAAATGAGCGATCGTTTCGCTTGATAAGACCCTTATTCATCGTCTGGTGTCGTTTAAAGCCCTTTGAACAGTTTGCAGTTTGCATTGAAACTGTCTTTTGGACCTTGAACCGTTTGGTTCCCATTGAAGTCTGTTATATGGAGAAAAATCCTGGAATGTTTTCATCAAAAACCTTCATTTCTTTTCGAAGAAAGAAAGACGTGGACATCTTGGATGACATGAGGGTGAGTAAATTATCAGCAAAAGTTTTTTCAAAAGTGAACTACTCCTTTAAGGGTTTGTCTTGGCATGTTATCAAAAGTAATATTTGGACACTGTCAAAGGATTCATGACCCTTCACGTTTTGTGTGTGTCTCACCTCCGCTTTCAGTGTCATGGTAGTTCGGATCCAGTCCTTTCTCCAGAGCTTTACTCAATTTCTCCACAGCTCCACCGTGAACATAATCCAGGAACTTCTTTAGATTGGCCTGTAGAGGGAGACACACACAGTCAGACACTTCACTTCCTTTCTTCTGTTCTTTTAACACATCCGTCTCCACTGGATATTTCATTTTTGCATTCGGTGGATATTAATATTTTTGTCCTGTATTTACCTTAGTGTGCAGCCTCGTTAGCTGTTTCTCATCCAGGTTTGCCTGTTTGTAAACTCGTGTCTTGTATCTGAACTGTGAGTTTAAGACACCAGGAAGAGAGGGAGGGGATCGAGAGAAACGGGTTAAAGCGTGTTCAGTTTACAAGTTCTGAGAAACAAGAACTAAACGAGTCATTAATGTAGATGCTCTGTCAAAACTGTGCACATCAAAGAAATGCTCCAAAAATAAAATAAAACATTACAAAATAAATTAATTAATTAAATAAAAACTAACATAAAATAAAAAATGTATAACTATTTAAATACAAATACAGACAAACTAATAAACGTCTTACTAATACATATTAAGAAGACTGATGAACAAAGAATAAACAATTCAAAAATCTTAAAGTAAAAGTCATTAAGAAAATAAGTCAACTATACAATGAATCTAACAATGGTTTGATAGTTTAGTCTATTTTTTTTTAAATGTAAATGTCTAAAATGTCCTAAACTGCCATTAAAAAAAGCATGTAATGCATTTAAAACACAAATAACTATTTAATATTTATTTAAAGGTATTCGAAAACAATAAGGTCCCTTTAGTTGATATTAGTTCATGCATTAAACTAATATTAACCAATACAGTATCGATTCATCTTTCTTAACATTAATTAAAATACATTACTCATTGTTAGTTTGTGTTAGCTCAAGTCCATGAAGTAATATTAGCATATACAACTTTTGAAATCTTTAATAACTTATTAGCAAATGTTTAAACCTGCTTTAGTTAATGTTAAAGGACCAGTTTGGTATTTAACACTTAAAGCCCTGTTTTAAGATCGTTTCTGATGAAATCTTGAATCTTAAAACATCTTAAAACAGGGCTTCAAGTGTAAAATACCGAACTTGTCCTTTAACAATTGTAAAGTGTTACAAGGTATTTTTCTCAATGGTCATTGAAACAGCAGGTTCCTATTGTGACGGATTGCCCCGTAGGCTCGGCATGAGCCAAAAACGATTGAAATGTTTTTAAGGTATGTCTGTACAGAAGGTTATGAGGTTCCAGAGCATTCTGGGTGATGTTGTCTAGTGTTTGTGAGCTTGTGATCTATTATTCGCTACAGCACCTCCAGGTAGGGCACTCCCTTCTCCAGGGACTGGGAAAACTCTCGAAGCAAGCGTTCCTCCTCCAGGAACTTGGCATCTCGTCCGTCTCCAGCTGGCTGGAAGAGGCCGTAATTGTAAGCGTCCCACAACGACTCGCTGAGAGAACAAATAATCTGCTGCTTTGCACTCCAAACACTCGCGTCGGGATCAAACCGCAAACACTTCTGCAGACGGAGAAGGAGAAAATAGGTTTGAGAAAGAACAACAGATTGAACTGGATTTAAGGTTCAAAACGACGGCATCTGTGACATGCTGTCTAAGGACATGGACGTCTAAGGACAAGACGTTCTGGAGGGTTTACAGGTAGAGTGTGCAATCTGTACATTTGAACTTTTATTTACATGTACATGTATGCAGCAATGTGTGTGCAAAGTTTTTAAGCATGTTAAAAGTGCAATGTGTAAAAGTTTTGAGTATCTATTAACAGAAATGCAATATGACATCCATAACTATGTTTTCAGTGGTGTATAAAGAACTTAATAATGCGCAAACTCGCAACTGAACTGCTAGATGTCGCTAAAAATTGTACACTGTACCTTTAAGGGCCCTTATGAATAATTAAAAGAAAAATCCTTAATAGAACAAAATGAGCTTTCAGTGTTTTGGTCTTAATAAAGAAATGAAAAAAAAAACTAGGGCTGTGCAAAAATTAATTGCGATAAATCGCATCCAAATTTAGATTTTCTGTTTCTTCAATTTCAGGTAAAGTTTTAGTACTTTTGTTGGGTTTTTTTTAGGGCTGTGCAAAAATTAATTGCGATTAATCGCATCCAAAATAAAAGTCTGTGTTTACATAATATATTTGTGTGTGCTGTATATAATTATTTTGTATATATAAATACAAACGCATGCATGTATATATTTAAGAAAATGTGTTATTCATATATAAAATATTTATATTTATATAATATAGATTATGTATTTATATATATATAGAATTTAAGCGCAAATAATTCTTAAATATATACATGCATGCATAGGTATTTATATATACAAAATAATTATATACAGCACACACAAATATATTATGTAAACACAGACTTTTATTTTGGATGCGATTAATCGCAATTAATTTTTGCACAGCCCTAAAAAAAACCCAACAAAAGTACTAAAACTTTACCTGAAACTGAAGAAACAGAAAATCTAAAAATCAAATCTAATCCATAAACTATGATAGTATATCAATAATACTAAAATTCACACTTCCATTACTGTATAATGAGTATAATAATGAAATGCATTGCTGTAAACATGATTTTTGTTTGTTTTTACAAAGCTGCAATAATTTTCTGTGGTGAAACACAAAAACATTTTGTATGCTTAAAATCCTCACACACCTGTTGAATATGAATTTGAAGAGCCTCTGTGTTGTTTGTATTCGATCAGTCACTTTTACAAGCCATTTCAAAAGCTTTAAAAAACAGACATGCTGCAAACAATAAACCATCCTGCATATTAAAATCCAACAGCACAGTGAAGAGTGTGTGAGCACGCTGCTTTATCTGGGGATTGTTAATGTGCCGCGATCCAGCATGTTAAGTGAGCTGCTAATTGAGTCAGGAGTTTAGATGAGAGTGATTTTGACATTAAATCAGGTCAGAGCTCCCACACAAAACATGAGAGTAAACTCGAGCTCAGTGTGTGTGTTTATTTAAAATGTCCCAGAATAGTTTTACACACACACTAATATTCAACACGCTAAATATTCTTTCATTAAGGATTCCCATGTTCCCCCTTTTCTCCCCCTGAATTAAATTATTTTTTTAATTCCACGACAACCCTGGGAGACACAAGAGATCCAGAGTATATTAAAGTGTGTGTGTTTCTTTGAAGCTTTCAGAACATTTACTGTTGTACAGTTTGTGTATGTGTGTGTGTGAACATCAGACGTTAATTTAGCAAAGGAGATCGCAACATTTCATGCATTTTTAGAGATCTCTGAGTTTTGATTGCAGACTTTAGTGTCTTGACAAATCTGAGCAAAGTCTGATATATTATTAACTCGAGGAGGAGACATCATGTGAGAGTATTTTTTAGCAAAAGTCTCCATTTTCTTTCCATTAATATCTCAATGCTGTCATGGAAAAATAGACACTGACCAATATTGCATTTTAAACATACCAAATTAAGTGTCTAATTACCAATATGCAGAATACATTTGAAATAAAATGATGTCTATTTATTTCACGTAATTAAGAAATTAAAAAAAAACATTACACTACAACTACAAAAATAAAGTACTAATTTTATAACACATTTATAATATCATATAAAAATAATGACAGCTAAAGAAAATCTATATTACAGCTATAAACAACAAAAAAAACATATAGAACTATAAAAATAAATTATTATCATTAATTTAATCAATTTAAAATAATTTGAATTCACTTTATTTGACAAAAATAACTAAAAAATATATATATTTATATTATTAACAACAAAATAGTCGATTTATATTATTTATAATATTTATTTTTATATTATTTATAACATAATTTAAAAAAATATATATTTTTATAATATTAATAAATATTAACGGGTTTATAATATTTATATTATTAACAACAAAAAAATTATTACACAACTATAAAATAAAACATTAATTATAAATTATTATTATCATTATCAGTAGGCGTGAATCTTGAAACCAATTAAGTAGAGAAGTAGTGGAGATGATTATCGTCTCTCTAGTGCAGTTTGTGAGTGTGTCTGAATGTGTGTGAACAGAAATGCACAGACCGTTTGTTTGATATCCGGTATCCCGATGCGGAAAACGATAACGGGGAGGTGCGAGTCTTCGGCAGGCGTGACTGTGGTCATGCTCCGCTCCATCATACGCCGTCGGGCCTGCTGATTGGTCAAGACCGGGTGATACTGCGGCTGATTGGTTGTCTGATGATAAAGCGTCGGCTGACTGGGTAAATGTGGGATTCCTCTCTGGGCCGGATTGCCAGCCCTCGGCTGCCTCTCTCCTCTCTGCCATCCAATCACGACAGCCGCCGGTTTGGATCCGTCCCCCTTGCGTCCGGCCCGGTTCTGGTGCTCCTTCTCTCCCATATCGATCATCCCATTTTGTTTTGCTCTCTTCAATCTCTCCTCCTCATCCTCCTCATCTTCACCTTCTTTGTCCTCGGCGCTTCCAAAAAAACGCTTGGTGTTTCCCAGCATCCTTTGCTGCGCCGTGTCAGCAAGCAGTGTTGATGCTACGCTGTTGGGTCATGGTGCTTATCGACATCCACCTTAATGTTAGACAGACTGAAGGGGAAAAGAAAGAGAGAATAATCCTTAGAGGTGTGATGCATTGATGTTCAAATAAATTCCAGATTGATATATGGATAACTTTTAACTTAGACCATCAATAAACCTTAACACCTTAGCAACTCCCTGGAAACGACACTGCGGTATAGCCTGCAAATAACAACTTGTTTTAGTAAACCGGTTGGAAACGTGTTATTTAATAAAGATCTGAAAGATAAGACACTGTGTGGGACTTTTTCCACGTTTTACTTCTAAAAATAACAAACTCCAGCTGTATCTCCAGGGCTAACAGACTGGATTCAATTTGCAGAAGACTGAAAGTTGAATTTGGGCTAAATTACAGAATGATTTAGTTGTTCTGTATGTGCCGGTGTCTCCAGGAGGAAGTTATTGTTCTTAGCATGTTACTCTTCATCATTTAATTGTGATCCTGACAAGACATAAGCGAAATAAAATCAATACATAGCTCCTTTGCTCAAACGGAATAATTGTGGTTTGCTTTTGAGAGAAGATACATGGGAAAGAAAATGAGTTAGAAACGCATATTTATAATAATGTGAGTAATGAGCACACTTTTAGAGCTTGAATACTACATTACTGTATAGGTATCTCATTTATATGGAATTAATTATATTAGTCATCAGGAATAAACAGCATTTAAAGAAAACTTTGAGCGGTATTATAATCATATAAAATAGGTCAAATCCTGTTCACTAAAATATATTGATCAGTAATCAAAAACAGGCCTAGATAATTCAATGAAATAATAGTCATTGCCTTTCTTAACGATTCAATTTTTAATTTAACCAACTTTCGTTTTTTTGAGAGTTGCAATTGTTTGTAAAAATGTGTAATATGGTCTGTCATGCATGTTAACTTTAACCCAGAAACACTTTTTTTTTATCTTAAATGAGAAGTTCACTTTAAAAAACTTTTGCTGATAATTTACTCGCCCCCATGTCATCCAAGATGTCCACGTCTTTCTTTCTTCAGTTGAAAAGAAATGAAGGTTTTTGATGAAAACATTCCAGGATTTTCTCCATATAATGGACTTCAATGGGGTCCAAACGGTTCAAGGTCCAAATGAGAGTTTCAGTGCAAACTGCAAACTGTTCAAAGGGCTTTAAACGATTCCAGACGATGAATAAGGGTCTTATCAAGCGAAGCGATCGCTCATTTAAAAAAAAAAAAAAAAAACAGTTTAAGTTTTATAAGCACAAATGGTCGCCTTGGCTCTGTTCTGTGATGAGCGTCCGTGACTCTCCTGTTCAAACTCGTTCATTAAAATGAACGAATCTTTTTTCGTGTCATTTGGTTCATTCAATGAACGAAATGAATGAGTTGACTCGGGAAAAGATTTGTTCATTTTGAGCGATCGTTTCACTTGATAAGACCCTTATTCATCGCCTGGAATCGTTTAAAGCCCTTTGAACAGTTTGTAGTTTGCACTGAAACTGTCTTTTGGACCTTGAACCATGTGGTTCCCATTGAAGTCCATTATATGGTGAAAATTCAGCAAAAGTTATTTTTATTAGTGAACTACTCCTTTAAATTTCAACACACCATAAAGGAAACAACAGGAAATTCAAGAAAAAAAAAAGTTTTTTGATGAAGTTAAACTTGTTTTTCCCCACTGAGCATGTGCTTAATAACGCTTTGTGAAATGTGCTATACAAATAAACTGACTTGACTTGCAGATTAAATTGGCTGGATTCAGCGTGATTCGGGTCATTGTCCTGTAACTGTGAAGCATCCGCCCGCTGCACTTCTGCTGATTATATTGTTGTTTAATTGCACACAAGAGGGTCACTGACTCAATGAATTTATTTAGATCAGCTTTAGTCAGCATAATTTGTCTCTGCTTTTTATTTTACATATCTCCACAGATGCAAAACATCTCCACCTCTCCCCTCAATGCCTGTCATCTGTACAGTAAATACTGTAGATATAATTGGCGTCAGTGACGTCCACATTCAGAAACTGTCCTGTAAACCTCCAGAGACCTCCATCGCCTCATTACTGACGGCTCATGGTGACTGATCCACCCGTTCACAGCTTTAGATGGTCATTTACTTTAATGAACCTGTTTGTGGTTCATCAAGAGCAAATACTGCAGTAGCTCCCAGTAATATTGACATACTATTTATAAATCAGCCTAGTGTTTTAACCCCTCTATTTACCAATGCCTTATTTATTACTGAATTTGGACTGTTTGATTAATCTTTACATAATTGTTTAATTTTTTTCTGGCTATGTAAATATATCTCTGTAATCAAAGATGATACAAACCACATGCTTCACTCTTTGAAAAGCCAGAAAACGCATGAATTTTCTGTTCCCTCATGAAAAAGTAGAGAGATTGCATTTATGTGTGATTAATCTGAAATAGATCACCACAATAATAGACTGTTGAGAAATGGAAGCATAAATTATCCCTTGGATGGTTGTAAAATACAGTAACACCCCGAAATAAGCAATACTCTAAATATCTTTTAAAGATTTGATGCCACTAATCTTGGTAAACTATGGCACATCCAGTGATAATCCATCCTCAAAAGCATCCATTCACTAATGTAAAAATATTAAATATCAAGAAATTTCCCCACCATCTTTTATATGCAATTCACATCAGACGGTCAGCAAGAGTCTGTGGCGTCTGACATTAAGACTAATATCATATCAACTGTTTAAAACAGGCTATTAGGAAACTTGACTGGTTACACGGGTGCCAATTAAATGATGAATCAAGCCAAGGAGACACAGCTGGTCTCGTTCACAAACCCTTCAAATTAATTGCTTAATCCAATTATAAAAATACATTGATGGCAATATCCAGATTAGTTTTCATGATTAGTTTAATACAGGCTTCCGTAGAGTCTGGGTATGTATATGTATGTCTGTTCGATGGATGGATTATGCATGTATGTACTGTATATACTGTATATATGTATCAATGTATGTATGGATGTAGAGTGATGTGAATAAGTCTGGACCCCCATGCTAAAGTTGCCTAAAAAGAGGAATAAACAAAATCATCTTTTTGATGTTGATCTTAATGCCTTAATTAGAAAAATGAGGAAAACTCCAACCTTTAAGGACACCAATTTTCTTTGTGAATGAATAATGTATCATAAATAAATAAATGTTTTTCCTTAAAATACAGGGTGCATAAGTCAGGACACCCCTATGTTAAATTCCCATAGAGTCAGGCAGATTTTTATTTTTAAAAGCCAGTTATTTCATGGATCCAGGATAATATGCATCCTGATAAAGTTCCCTTGGCTTTTGGAATTAAAATATCCCATTCACCATGCCTAGAGATTGGCATGGTTTTACTTCAGTTAGCCTAATAGCTGGTTTGATTTGCATTGAAAGATGATCTTATGGAAAGTACCCCATGCCAATCTCTAGATGTGGTGGAAGGTGTGTGATGATGTGGGGATATTTTAATTCCAAAGGCCAAGGAAACTTTATCAGGATGCATATTATCCTGGATCCATGAAATAACTGGCTTTTAAAAATAAAAATCTGCCTGACTCTATGGGAATTTAACATAGGGGTGTCCTGACTTATGCTCCCTGTATTTTAAGGAAAAACATTTATTAATTTATGATACATTATTCATTCACAAAGAAAATTGGTGTCCTTAAAGGTTGGAGTTTTCCTCATTTTTCTAATTAAGTCATTACAATCAATATACAAAAGATGATTTTTTATTCCTCTTTTTAGGCAACTTTAGCATGGGGGTCAAAACTTATTCACATCACTGTATGTATGGATGTATGAATGTATGCATATATGTATACTATATGTAAGTTTAGGACACTTTGAATATTCTAAGCATGCGCTGCAGTTTATGCCATCTGTCGCGTTAAATGCTTGAGGCCTTCAAAGCAAAATGGATTCTGATTGGTTGTCAATGTTTTTAAATGGTCATCAGCTGGAAATAGTTCTGAATGTGATTCTAACGATATAGTTGCTCTGTGTCGTTGTCGTTATAGTTATCGTCCTTGGTTTGAATGTGCCTTAAGAATAATACATGCATCCATGCATGAATCTCCTCATATTAAATAGCTGATAAAACAGGACCAATGAGAATGCAGAGAAGTGTTTCTCCCTCGGCTGATTAGCTCTCTGCTGTATAATTGGCAGTTGACTGGGGCAGGTGGGGAAAAATAGAGCACTGGCCTCATTTCACTCTCTAGAGACGATTCAGAGAGAGTAATGCAGGCGCCACACAGAAACCAGCAGCCCAAGGACGAAGTGGGAAGAGCGCTGATACGAGACCAGGTCATGAAAACAGCAAAAAGACTGCGGAAACCAGTCTGAAAGGACACCGGACACGAGACAAGGCCTGTTAAACAGAAGAAACAACTGCAATTCAGTTAGAACGGTCCAATAAAACCAGTCTTGGGTCTCATAAATAACTAAATACAGCGGGATTTCCACTCGCATTTCCGCATTACGTCCGAGTGTCCATTCAGCTCGCTCAGTTTTTGCGAGAAGAAACCCTTTCACACACACCTCCTATCGTATTGTACTTCATTCTCTCACATACATAGCGCACACCCCCTCCTACAGTATGTAGGACAGGGTGAATATAGATATATTTCCAGTGAATCGGTCCCCAGAAACTTTAATTGGAGAACTGCCATGGAACAGGCTGTCCCACTTTTATAACCCGTTAAAAAGAAGTGGAGCAACCAGGTCCGGCATTGGTCCATTCCTCTCTCACTCACGCTCTTTGTGTCTCTCACCGGCCATCGCTCTGTTAGAAAAGAATGACAGCGCAGATAACGGACGATTAAAGCGAGTGTTGGTGTTTTTTCTGCACTCTTTCCCTGGAGCTCTGAGCGAGACCGTGTCATTGAGAAACGCACAAAACCACTTTCTGTTTCTATAATGAACTGATAGCGTTCATGATGATGCAATGATGTTTTAAAACCCCAGGGATCATGAATGAGTGAAATAAGAGGCGTTCCTCCTCTGTACACTTGTTTCCAGGTGATAGAAGTGTTACGTGGGAGGCTGACTTGAATTGCTCAAAGGTTTAAGCCAATACATTCAAATACAGGCCACCGTTTAAAGGAGTAGTTCACTTTTAAAAAAAACTTTTGCTGATTATTTACTCACCCCCATGTCATCCAAGATGTCCATGTCTTTCTTTCTTCAGTCGAAAAGAAATGAAAGTTTTTGATGATTTTCTCCATATAATGGACTTCAATGGGGTCCAAACGGTCCAAGGTCCAAATGAGAGTTTCAGTGCAGCTTCAAAGGGCTTTAAACGATTCCAGACGATGAATAAGGGTCTTATCTAGGACATTCGAGTCATGAATCGAAAAACTATCAAAAGAGTTTGAACAGGAACGTCACGAAAATGCATCACAGAACAGAGCAAGGTGAGCATTTGTGCTCATAAAACTTAAACTTTTTTATTTATTTATTAAAAAAAAATTTTTTTCTCTCTCTTTTTTGTGTTACATGATTTATGACATGATTTCTAAATGACTGACCGAAGAAATACATAAATACAAAAAAAATAAGCAATCGTTTCACTTGATAAGACCCTTATTCATCGTCTGGTGTCGTTTAAAGCCCTTTGAAGCAGCACTGAAACTCTCATTTGGACCTTGAACCGTTTGGACCCCATTGAAGTCCATTATAAGGAGAAAATCCTGGAATGTTTTCATCAAAAACCTTAATTTCTTTTCGACTGAAGAAAGAATGTCATGGACATCTTGGATGACATGGGGGCGAGTAAATTATCAGCAAAAGTTTTTTTTAAAGTGAACTATCCTTTAATAATATAGTTCCATTCAAAAGTTTACTTGATCTACAGTAAAAACAGAAATATTGTGAAATGCTTTTTCAATTTAAAATAACTGTTTATATTGTGATTATATTGTAAAATGTAATTTATTCCTGTGATCAAAGCTGAATTTTCAGTCTTCAGTGTCACATTATATTATTATCAATGTTAAAAACTGTTATGCTTTTTGTGTGGAAAATACATTTGTTTTCAGGATTTTTTGCTGAATAGAAAGTTCAAAAGAACAGCATTTATTATAGGTAAAAATGTTTTTTAATTTTATAAATGTCTGTACTGTCACTTTTGATCAATTTAATGCATCCTTGCTCAATAAAAGTATTAATTTCTTCTTCAAAAGAAAACTTACCGACCTCAAACTTTTGAATATGAATACTACATCCTAATTTACATAGCAAAAAAAGACCTTTGACGTAAACAGAACTAAACTGGGAGTTTGCCTATATTTAAATCATAAGTTAAAGCAAACCTCTTGTCTGTTAAGCAGAATATAAACCACGTCACATTCAGGAACAGCCCTTTACACAGCTATGTGACTGCTCAGAATCAGAATCGTTATAAACCATCATCTTACGCATAGTAATTCAGTGTAAAACATATCCTGCCCCTATATAGACTTTAAATTTGTTAAAACAATCCAGATGCGAGAATGCATTTCAGAATACAGGCACATGTTTCAGTATTTATCAACCTGAACAGAAAGGCACTAAAGAGACCAGTGTTGCTAAAATTAACACATCATGCTGTCCTACAAAAACCACACTAGTACATGTGAATCAGATTCAAGCAACACACAACATAAACCATTAATGCTCACTGAATAATTGCTTATGACATAAAATATGTATGCACTGTTAACATAAATCAGTTCAAAATAGCGGTTTCCTCCTATTTTTTGTAATACAACGGTTTACACATTTCCTTCTATTTTTTTGTAATATATTTTAGAGAACTAAAGCTAACTAGAGTGGCTTTACATGCCAAAAATCCCAAAGATTTACATGACGTCCTAAATAATAAAATAATAATATTAAGTCAGGGATTATGAACCTACAGTGTAAAACCTCAAAACTGGCAATTAATTACTAACCCAGGTTACTGTTTGACCAGTGTTAAACTGGTACAAGATAACACAGAGTAATGTTAACACAGGAGATCACATGTGAACACAGCCCAAATAATGAGCAGAAGCAAACGAAGAGGAAACCCACAGCCGTGACCTCGTTCAACAACATTCTGGAGGTCAGCGCTCTAGAAGAGAGGAGGAGTACGAGAGAAAACTGGGACGAGGAGAGACAGAACACAGAAAAAGAGTGTAAAAGCTGGAGAGAAAAAACACAACAACTAAAACACAACAATCTGTCCATATTATTACGAAGAGAGACAGAACGCAAAAAAAAATCCCTGCTACAAGAAGATGAAGAGCAGCTAGATACAATGAACGACAGTACGAACAATAGATAGAATGAATGAACTGACGAATGATGGATCTGTTGTTTGTTTGTTTTATCTAACAGACCAACAAAGGAACGAACGATAGATGAAACAAACGAATGAACGATAGAATGAATGAACAAACGTCAGATGGAACGAACGAATAAACAAAAGATAGAACCAACGAACAAACAATTGATAGAACAAACGAACGAAAGATAGATGGAACGAACAAATGACAGATAGAACAAACATACGATAGATAGCACAAACGAACAACAAGAGAACAAACAATCAAACGATAGAAAGAACGACCAAACAAAACAAACGATAGAACAAACAAAAACAAACAATAGTACGAACAAACAAACAATAGAACGAATTAACAAATGATAGAACAAACAAACGATAGATAGAACAAACATACGATAGATAGCACAAACGAACAACAAGAGAACAAACAATCAAACGATAGAAAGAACGACCAAACAAAAAATAGAACAAACAAACGATAGAACGAACAAACAATTGATAGAACAAACAAACGAAAGATAGATGGAACGAACAAATGATAGATAGAACAAACATACGATAGATAGCACAAACGAACAACAAGAACAAACAATCAAACGATAGAAAGAACGACCAAACAAAAATTAGAACAAACAAACGATAGAACGAACAAACAATTGATAGAACAAACAAACGAAAGATAGAGGGAACGAACAAATGATAGATAGAACAAACATACGATAGATAGCACAAACAAACAACAAGAGAACAAACAATCAAACGATAGAAAGAACGACCAAAAAAATAGAACAAACAAACAATAGTACGAACAAACAAACAATAGAACGAATGAACAAATGATAGAACAAACAAATGATAGAACAAACAAATGATAGAACAAGCAAATGATAGAACAAACGATAGATAGATAGATAGATAGATAGATAGATAGATAGATAGATAGATAGATAGATAGATAGATAGATAGATAGATAGATAGATAGATAGATAGATAGATAGATAGATAGATAGATAGATAGATAGATAGATAGATAGATTTTATGAACGATAGATTTTATGAACGATAGATTTTATGAACGATAGATTGAACAAACTAACAAACGAACGATAGATAGAACGAATGAAGGATAGATAGAATTATAGATTGAACAAAGGATAGATTGAACAAACTAACTAACAAACGAACGATAGATAGAAGGAATGAATGAACGATAGATAGATAGAATTATAGATTGAACAAACTAACTAACAAACGAACAATAGATAGATAGATAGAATTATAGATTGAACAAAGGATAGATTGAACAAACTAACTAACAAACGAACGATAGATAGAAGGAACGAATGAACAAGAATAGATAGAATGAACAGATAGACAGACAGATAGATGTGCTGTTTTATGACCACATGACAAAGAGGGATGATCTTTCAAAATGAAACATAACCAGGTTTTGACCATAAAAAAGTAGCATAAATGTCTTTACAATTTCATGCCGAACATCACTTTGACTTCTGAAGTCATGATGCTTCGAAAGGCCAGAGAGAGCGAGAGACGAGAGCTGGAAGATTATTACTGAACACTGACATTTGGGTTTGCTCCACACACAAGCCTATCATATGACTTCATGGAATATAGCAAAGTAGCCATGAACTACTTCATTGGTGCTTTTTTTGTCATTTTAAAGCATGAACATAATTCATGTACACAAGAATGCACTTTAAACACAGCTCACAATTAAACCACAGATAAATCGAACAGCTAATTGAGCTTAGGCTGTTTAAACACACACAGATTCTCTCGATAAGTGTTTGAGTGCATAATTATGCTCTCTGCGTACAGTGACCTACCTTTGCTCTCAGCAGGCCTCTCACACACACACACACATAATCACCCACTCACTATCAGCGCAATTTACAGCAAAACACACACTGAAGTCAAAAGTGCTGCATATGCAACTACTGCAGTTCACAGTTCTGCCAAAGCACACCAGCACAACTGTACGTACGCCAAGCATCACTTTCCCAAAAGTCCTCTATTAAGCATCCCGGGAGTCACACGCATCATGCATGCACTAGTTTTTCCTGCAAACACTATTATATCTGCTCTCTCTAAGCATAATAACGGATCCACTATCCATACCAAGTGAGAATTCATACCTCAATGTCCAGCCTGAGCTTCCTCATTCCAGCACAGAAGAGCCGCTTTGCTCCAGAGATGTGGTCAGAAAAGGACACAACCAGAGCAAACAGTCATAAAAACGCCACATCCAGGCGTTGCGTCCATGCAGGATCACCTCCAGCACTGGAACAATCTCTCTTCTGAGATCTCTCTCATCCCACTGTCATGCACTCAAACACTCCTCCCTCCAGCCTCGCTCTCCACACACACACACACACACACATGCGGCCCCTCGGATGCTAGATCAAACTGGCTCGCATCTGAGGCTTGGGTTTCATCCGGATCTTCTGTGGCTTTGTGGGAAGAAGTCATCTGTTACACTCGAAAACCACTGAAACCCACACAGTTTCACATGTATAATGCAAGACATGTATGCAGTGTTTTATCTGAACTAATAACATACTGTGACACTCACACACACACTCTTGAACATAAGTGGGTCATGGACTGACAAATGAAAGGAGAAATTAGCCTGGCTGCGTGTGTTCATGCATGCGGTGAATTAGAGAAATCCTCACCTGTCCTGATCAGTCGCCGTCTCTCACCCACAAGGTCTCACCTAAAACACAGAGCAGTTAGACAGACTGACTGGCTTTCATCAAATAAAGAAACCAGACAGTTCCAATAATACATCAAGAGCCTGTCTGCACTTTCTCCACTTCTAAATCAGGCCTGTTTGGCAAGTCTTTATTATTAGTGGCATTTACTTTTAACTGCGCTTCACTCGTACTCGTGCTCAGAGATGTGCTTTTAGTGCTTTAGTTTTATTTCAGATTTATTTAAATAACCAAAATGTTATTTATGATGATTCCTGAACCAATTATTTAGGAATCATTTTGACATAACTGGTTGCACGGTTCGTTTTTAACCCCTTAGCTGTCTGTCACCCCCCTTTTTGAGAATGAGGGTTAAAATGCACTATTCACACTTAAATTGTTGTAATTCATTCAAGTTTGGTCTTGTTTTAAAAACACTCAGCAGATTATTGCTTAAGTGAAAACACTTCAAAACATGAAAGTATGAAAAAGTTATGGAAGTTTAAATTTACAGTAAATCAAATATATTGTACGATATATTTTTTTATTTTATATAAAATATATATTTTACAAAATAGTTTTTACAATAAAATCAAAGCCATAAATCTAACCAAGTTATGTTCCAAATTTGAAGTTGATATCACAAAAATTGAAGTTCCCATGAGATTTTGTTTAGGCGTAGTACCAAAAATAACCACCGGGTGCCATTGAATTCCATTGAAATTGATTGTATACATTCTGCCTTTACAAATTAATACATTTCTGTCCAAATATCAATTTTGTCACAAAATTTGGAACCTAGAGACTCAGACCTTTCTGACAATATGTGTTTTGTCAAGATTAGAAAAGGTTTTGATTATAAATTATGAATATAATGATGCCCAAAAGGGGAGGAGCCTGATAAAATAAGTACCGTTTCTATGGTAACGCAATGTTCAATTATAAACTGGTTTTCACAGGATGAATTCTGAGTTTATAAGCTTTCAAATGATACCTAATTTATGATAACTACTAAAATATGTGATATAATAAAAAAAAAGGCGATAAAAAAAATTATATTATATTTTAGGATAATATATATATATATATATATATATTATAATTTTTAGAGGATAATCTTATACTATATTTTTTATTTTTTATTGAAAAATACTAGATTATATGTTTTATTATGAACTTTTAGTATAAAAACAGAAGTTTCAATGATTAAAAGTGGGCGCATCGACTTTTTGTGACTAAGCGGTCAGACCTCATGTTATGATGCGGATTTTTCTGAGGTGCACTCTTGTCATAAATTCATCATTTACTCTTCCTACATAATTTGTAACACAAAACAGGGGTAGAATATCTATTTAGAAGTCTTTGACCTTTCCAACAATACACTGATCATCATCAGACACACTGTTTTCACTTACTGGACCTTAGAAAGGATGAAAAAAAGATAAAAAGAGATGGACATTGAAGAGGGACCCATACCACATCTACAGGCCATAAGTCCACATAGAGCTTTCATGACACAGTTAACAATCACCGGTCAACCACATAGCAACACCCTGGCAACCACACATCTTAGAGTGCAACAGTGCCCCCTTTTTCAGCGGCGCTTGTTCCGGAAGCACTTTTTTCATTAATTTTTCCCATAAGGATTTTAAAATAGCCTTTGTTAAAGCTTTATAAGCCATGAACCAAGCCAATCAGCAACAAGGTGAATCACAACAAACATGACTACAAACTTTGATTTGAAGCAAAAAATTATTTAAAAATCGGCCAAAAAAACAAAAGGTACAAGACTGTACTTAACGCTTTATTGAGGGAAAGAACTACAATCCCATGAAGCATTGCAAACAGCATAAATAAAATTTTTACATTTAAAATACAAAACTACTAATTTACAAATGTTAATTATATGTAAAATTATTATATATTTATATTTAGTTTATTGCAATATATATATATATACTATTTGGGCTGTCAAACGATTAATCGTGATTAATCGCATCCAAAATAAAAGTTTGTGTTTACATAATATATGTGGGTGCACTGTGTATAATTATTTTATATATATATATATATATATATATATATATACGCACACACACATGCATGTATATTTAAGAAAAAAATATTATTTATATATACAATTTTTATATTTATATATAATATAAATTATATACAAATCTATATACAGTATATACATGAAAATATTACTTAAATATATACAAGCATTTGTGTGTATTTATACAAGTATATATAAAATAATTATACACAGTGCACCCACATATATTTTTAAAACATTTTTAGTATTTTGAAAGTGCAGGCCAGGAGATCAACTTGATCACATCATTCACGACAGTGGGTGGAGCTACAGAGATATTTGAGAGTGTGTTGCTTTTTTCAACTCTCTGATTGGCTTTATACACAGCTCCACTACTTCCTGAACTTTAGCCAGCTCCTTGTTTCCTGTCTGCAATTATTGGACAAACTGATTAATCCAGGTGTGTCTGATTAATGTTGTTGGTCAGAAACACCTGGATTAATCAGTTTGTCCAATAATGGCAGACAGGAAACAAGGCGCTGGCTGAAGTTCAGGAAATTGGAATTGGTGTAATTGTCTGTCCAGCATCATGGGTAATGTAGTTTTTTTCCCAGGAATTCCCCTGTTAAACACAATTATTTAAAAAAATAAGCTGAAATAATGCAGGATGATATCATCCAAGCAAATATCGATTAACCACAGCTCACAGTACGTCTGGTTTTAATACAGTAAGTTTCATTCATTATCTCCACAAGGAAATAGATTCTGAACAATACAAAATCAATTTCCTTATGGAGATAATGACTTGAGTTTTTAGTTCCAGAACCCGACTGTTGCACTTGTGTCAGTTATGCACATGCAAATATTGTAAACATCTTTCCAAAACGCTGCTTCCCACTCAACTGTTTCCATGCACAAATTTGATCATCAGTTAATAGAATACGTCACAATATGTCTACATCTTCAATCCAGCATACATTTAGCTCATAGATCTAAAATAAAACATTCTATCTATCTATCTATCTATCTATCTATCTATCTATCTATCTATCTATCTATCTATCTATCTATCTATCTATCTATCTATCTATCTATCTATCTATCTATCTATCTATCTATCTATCATTCCGATCGGCAGTGGTGTTCTCGTGATTACTAGCGAGTTGTCATGTTTATGGACTCGTCCAGCGTGGTTTTCTCAGTACATCTCTATTTTCAGGCGTGTGTAAGTAGGTCTGAGCCACAGTGTTGGGGAGTCACACACTAACAGTCCTGCTACCTAATTACTAATACATGTTTTTCTTCACTAGACCCCTTCAAAACGGACTGATCGTGGCCTGTTTGTAGCCAGCGTTAGGCTGTATGTTGCTCTCCGTTTTCTGACCTTACTATTACATCAAAGCTTAGCATCCTTAAATTAAAACCACGACGAAGCCGATAAACACTTCACACACTAGCACTTGAGCATAAATTAAACACATTATCCATAAGGATACGTCATTTATGCATTGCACTTATCAGCTCATCCAATTAATAAACTTTATTTTTTAATTTCTAAAGAACATGTTAGAGGTTACTTACAAAACTCACTGCGCCTTGATGCTTGATTCAATCGGTGGGATTTACCGCAAGTCACCTATTTTAATGTCCAACATCATAACTAATACCTCAAGAAGACACATTGTGAATTATTCATATCTGGAGCACAAACGCTGCAGGACGACGGACATCACATTACAAACTCTAACGATAAGCAACAGTAATAGTGATACTTAATATAGTAAATACCAGTAATTAAGCCAAAACAAAATTTCTATTGTAAGCATTTTAAAGAGGTTTGGACTTTTTGACATTCAAATCAAACTACTGGAAAGATTAAGCATATGATGACTTTCAGAGAAGACTTGTCCTCTGTTCCTCCAAGAGACAAACTCAAAAATCCCCCAACATGTCTTAAACCACATCACTGACCCTCAGACTGTAATGTACTATATTACTCACTCATTAGATATTAGTCATTCACGGAACTTGTATTATAAAGCCGATAATCTGTAAAAAGCAGACGCTTTCAGTTTTGGAATGAGACATGTCTCAACTGACTTTCAGTTCTGTCTAAAATAAAATAAAACAATGTAAAAATGAACATTTAAAAACTACACTTAAACTTAAACACACAGCCTTTAAAGGGGACATATCATGCAAAATCCACTTTTTTTAGCCCTTAAATGCATTTTGTTGAATATTTGGAGTGTTTATAAGTACAGAAAAGATGAAATTATTCTCCTCAGGTGCTTCGTTTATATCTTTATATTCTGTTTTGGTCATATTTTTCAACATGTTCAGATTTTTCTGTTCTCTGTGACGTTTTTTTGAACTATCACGTCACCGTATTTGCAGCGGAATTGACAAATAAGGACATCGACTACCGGCCCAACACTTCGAGCAATCCGCCATTATTATTTCTCGCTCCGATTTTGTAGTCCGAGCTCAATGATGCAGAAGTTACGAGAGGGCAAGTCAAAATGTTCGGTTGTTGGATGTACGTTAGTGACCTGAAGCATTTTATAGTATAAAGACGGGTTTGCCGATCGACTTCGTCTGAATGAGAGGTAAATTCCTTCTATCTTTGGAGACGACGAACAGAGCATTTCGATAAGCTGTAAATATCGTTAATAAAAATAAAGTACTTTACTTTCTTAAAACACATGGTGGTCGTGGTTTAGCAGTACCTTTGTCTTTCTTTGTTTTTGTTTTTCTGTAACGTTACACGTCTGCAGTATTATTGTTCTTGAGTTTCATCAATGCTCATTTAGCTGCGTTGTTTTCTGATGCTTTTCTAAAAGTATCATATTATCAATACAGATTGTTTGTGGTAAGATTAGACCGTAGTCATTTAGCTTGTTTTAACAAGAGAAATAGTCGACTTTCACTAATAACACAAAACAGTTAACTCACATACCAATACATCCATATAAAGTGGTTGTTCTGCAGGTTCGTCGTCATCTTTATCAACTCGCTCGCTCTGGCTCGAATATGTAAGGCTTGATGGACAAGTCTTCTGTTGTTGACATTTTATTAAAGTGTGAATAAAAATGTTCTTTGAAGGTATCGTATATAATTGTATATCTCTAATCAAACGGGGTGTGACGCATCTCCTTTTTATTAAAGGGGCCGCTTTGAAACGGGTCGCTCACAGACGTACATCAGAAAAGGGGTAGAAAAGGGGCTAGTGGAGCTATAATAATGAGGAATTCAGACCCAACCATTGCCAACATACCCAAGTATGATTTATATGTAAAAATGAATGATTTAAAAGCATGATATGAACCCTTTAAATAATCTCTATCATATACTGGAAAAGTGCAGCAGCACAAACAACAACAACAAGCAGCTCGCTCAATTCTAAGAGTCAAACAGATCATGCAAAATAGTCATTAAAAACTATATTATCTTTATAAATAAAATCAATTAAAAGTGATGTTGCCTTGGTTCTGGAACAACGTCTCCTTTATGAACACCGCCATTATTAGGTTAGGCCCTCTAGTTTAAGAGTTAGCTTATGGTTAGAGCTTTTCTTACTTTCGACAGGATTGTTCCAGAAACACGGCTAACTCAGCAAAACCAAGTCACCACTACTTTACCACAGGCATCGAACTCTCTCTTTCCCAACACAACTATAAAACGGCACAGGTCACAGAGTTTACTGCCTCTACATTTCACCATCTGGCATAAATCTGATATTCTGTCCCACTCAAAAGATTATACTGATAATCAATTTAGCAACACCATCTTTGAAGCATCCATACTGTATATGATTAATTATAAAGCTATCCATATTGAATTATTGAAACTTTAGTCAGTAAGTTACGTCGAGTGCAAAAGCTATTTTTTTCACAGTGCATTAATACATTTTAATCAGATGTGTTACTGAAACACTGTAATGTGAATGGATAATAATAGATCTGTGACACATTGCTAAAAGTATCTACAAGGTGCATAAATATAATTAAGATTAATAGATTACAACGGTTACAGTTATTTATGAAAACAATGTGTATAATAGGGCACTGTCAAATAAATATTATCATGCTGGTTTCATAGAAAGTGCTGCTATAAATTCATATCATTTCTCCTAAATTTTAGCACATTTTGTCCCTTATTTTACCAATAGCATCATCAGTTAATATTCACCAACATATTTAATATACACTTGTTGATTGCAAGATCTATTTAATATCAAGTAAAAAAAAAAAAAATTGCTGACCAATCGGTATGATTCTGTTCATAAATAACACCATCATTGGGTATTCTGGGAAATGCACAGGAAGGTACATGCACACACACACACACAGTGACACACACACACACACACACAGTAAAGCAAGTTCCTCTAGCACAAATGGAAAAAAGAATTAGGAACACATCTTGAGTGTTCATTCAAATTAAATAAAGAATAGAACAGAATAGAAATGACTATGAAAGCTTGAGTCTCAGAAGTATAAAGATGCTTTGTGACACTGAAGTGGAAGAAGAAGGCATTAAATAATAAGTTAATTCCCTCATGTGACATAAATATTTGTAATCTCCTTTGCAAAATAATTTCTTGTGGAAAAGTGTGTTTTTCTCAAACTTACTCACTGGCTTTGAGATGTGTTGTCAGATGTCCTCTTTGCTGTCACTACTGACCGGTTGGACCTCCTGACATAAATGAATAACAAATTTGAATCATATTGAAATCAAAATCAAGACCACATATATTGCAACGTACCCAGATGCATCTGAATGACTCACTGAACATTCATTTTACAACATTTATCAGCTTTTATCCACCATGGCACTTTAAGGAAATAAAAAAAAATGCAGAGCCTGTGCACTTTACACTTAAAAACCAGCGCTCACTAAACATCAGAGTGTGGTTAAGTGTGGTTAATGCTGTTCAGAAAGTAGACATGAAAAACTTTCAAAGTAAAGTAACACTGTTTTGCCAACACTAAAAATACACAAACTAATGTTCTGTGCAGACACTAAAAGAACCCGGGTCATTTCAGGTTAACTAGCAAATATTTTATACTTTCACAAACTAAAAATGATTCAACAGGTCAGTATAGATATTTGTGCTGGCTTCTGGGGAAGGGGGGTATGCATCGCTTCTCTCTTAAAATTACTGTACATGAATGAATTAAAAATATTTGAACATACATTAGAAGTTATGAAGTAAACAATGAACCAGTTAATAGCTTTTAACATGAACATCTGAATGCAAAACTCTATTAAAAAATGCTAAATAAGACGATTCGTAATTTTAACTTTGATATAAACATTTTTGACATTGATATAAAATAATATTTTACAATTTCATAAATATTCTGCGTGGACAGAAACAGAATTGTTTATTAAAGTGATCAAATTTGAATGCACTTAAAATGAATGCACACTTTAATAGTTGTATTATGGTCTATAGACTAATTAGACAAAGTATTCATCTTAATCATAAAAATATATTTATTTATCTGAAAACTTAATAGCATAAATTGATAAATAAAATAAATGCGTCATGCATGAGTCATGCATTTTGAGCCAAGTTGTTCTTGATCACTGACCATCTACAGGACCATGACTTTTGCACGTTCTTTAAATAGCAACGCCTGATAATAACCAAATTGCACATTGAGAGCAACACATACTGAATGCTTGAATACAAACACACAGCTAAAGCGAGCTGTTAAAAAAAAGTGTGACCAAAGGGTGCGGCAGCCGCTCTAATTACCAAAAGAGAAAAAAAACTGTCAGATTGAACAAAAACAATGGAAACATGCGCAGACTGAGCTTTAATGCAATAAAGCTGATTAACCACTTTTTCTCTACTTCCCCAAATTTACAAAAGGCTCATCCTTCTGTCCATCAGACACTCATAATTCTCTTTCTGACAGACGACGGCGTGGCTCGGCTCGGCTGATGGACATGAGGTCTCTGCTAACACTGTCAGGTAAAACACAAGAGTTTATGCAGCATCTTATTGTCTGATTCTGTGTAATGGGATGATTTAACAAATTCTTGAAGTAAAATGTTGAAATGTCAACAACAGTTTTCACAAGTTTTCAATGAGCTTTGTTTGTCTGGTTATTAGATTGGCATTAAATGATGATAAAAAAAAATATCAAATTATCAGTTAAATTAATTTCAATGCCAACTTGACAGAATTAATTATCGAGGGCTTGGAGCCAGAAGGGCGTAAGTGGATTTTTAACAAACTTTACAGGAGAGACAAAACAAAATTTTTATCACGCTTCAATCACCTGTATTATTAACCATAAACCAGACATTGCAACCACAGGCATACTTACATGAAATTAGTATTTAAGTAAAAAATGTATGGCATATTAACACAATGAGCATGTTCTAAAACATATACGCCTTTTGTTGCTTTATTCAATACAGTTTGACCTCAGATAGGTATTTGTGGCACCATTGGATAGAGCTCATCGAGACCTTTATTTTGATATAAAGAACTCATATTCGCCCAAAATGCCACTTACGCCCCTCTGGCTCCAAGCCCTCGTTATATGTAATAATATCATTTTTGGTGATGTATGCAATATGATCATTTTTAACACTTTACAGTTCCAAAAACACATTTTTACAAAGATATTTTAGAAAGATATGCAAGAATTACTTTCAAAAGTACTTTTTTGAAAATGCAAGTGACTCTTGAGTCATGATTCGCCCAAAACTGACTGGGTGTGGCCGTCTCATTTAAATTCAATGAAGCTGCAAATTAAAATGAAAGATGTAGTTTCTTAGTGCAGAAATAATCTGTTCCATTAATGAGCCAAAAACAGAATTGTTCATACAAGCGATCAGGCTAATGAATGAAGTTAATAGTTGTATTATGGTCTATAGACTAATTAGACAAAATAATCATAATCATAATTCATGATTAATTCATCTTAATCATAAAAAATATATATTTATCTGAAAACTTAATACCATAAATTGATAAATAACATATATGCGTCATGCATGAGTCATGCATTTTGAGCCAAGTTGTTCTTGATCACTGACCATCTACACGACCATGACTTTTGCAACTTCTGTAAATAGCAATGCCTGATAATAACCAAATTGCACATTGAGAGCAACACATACTGCATGCTTGAATACAAACACACAGCTGAAATAATCTGATTTATCTTTTTATGTCACAGTGCTGTTGGCTCTCATAAGAGAAGACAATGGACAAAATCCAACAGGTAAATACACACATTTTCATTGTGCACAAGATCAGAGGAGCTAAAAAAAGAGATACTATCAAATCTATTATAGCTCAGCATTAAGAAAAAACCAATGCAGATCAGCAAACCAGCATATTGATGTTTCTAGTGTCAGTTAGTACCTCACTGAGGCTCATTTATAATGAACCATGTCCAAAGTAGTTCCTGACGTGGTTCCTCGCTGAAGACAGTCTGACTCCAACATGATCAAAAAGCATCTGATCATTTTCTAAGATCTGCATACAATCATAGATCTGTTAGAAACCAGAAGCTCAAGTTTATTCATCACTTGTGGCACATTTCACATCGATTAGACAGTCAAAAACTACACCGAACTCGACAGAATACCTGAAGCCCTTGAATTTAAAAAAAACAGCAAGAAACTGTTCATTTAATTAAAGTCAGAGAGGGTGAAAATGGTGAAAAGCAATATTAAGATATTTTTAAAAAAGCAACAAAAAAGTTGTTGTTTTTTTCGGAAATAAATAAATAAATAAGCCCATAAATTATTGATTTATGCCTTTATAAATGCATTAATTAAAAAAATAATTAATTAACAATTGCACCTTTTGCGGTCCATTTCAAACTTTTCCAATTTCTCCAATTATTATATTGTTTGTGTAGGCAGAACTAAATCTCAATGGTTTGCAATTACTGTCAATCAATAATAGTAGTCAGACAACCTGGCGTTACAGAAGACGTGTCTGTTTTCTTTCTCTCAGTGTCTCTCCTGCCGAGGTTCCCAGATGTGTTTGTTGGAGATGACATCACTCTGATCTGTAAAGGAGGGGGTGAACCGATAAAATGGTTCATTAATGGAAAGCCACATTCACATCAGAGATCTTCAATGCTTCTTACAGCCGTGACATCTAAAGACAACGGGAGGTACGAATGTGAGCGAGGCGGATCGAAGAGCGAGCCGTACACACTCACTGTCGAAGGTATGAACACCATCCTAAATAACTCTAAACTTCATCATCAGTTCCTCCTGCTGTTTCTCATCCTCTCTCTCTCTCTCTCTCTCTCTCTCTCTCTCAGAGCTGGAGCCTCACGCTCAGCTGTCACCATCTGTAGGTGGCGCTGTGATGACCAAAGGTGGTGGAAGAAACCTGGTCCTGCAGGTGGACGATGATCCGAATGACTGGAAGTGTTTTGTGTTGAGGGGAGAGAGCGGCTCTAAACTAGGAACCTCTGTTGATCAGATGAAGAACAGGGCTGTTATGTTTGCAGAATTGAACGAAGCAAAAAGAGCCACTTTCTGGTGCAAGAAGACCGGGACACAACGAAGCAATGCTGTGACGCTGAAAATGACAGGTGACTCCTTCCTCCTGTCCCTGTTGTATTTCAGATTACTTGTGTGGTTAAATCCAAGGGAAACACAAAACTACTAACTCTGTCATTATTTACTTAATTCTTCTGAGGAAAACAACAAAAGATTAGATTTTGAAGGATGTTTTGACTTTTTGTGTCCAACGTCTATGCAATGAAAGTCAATGGGGTCCAAAACAACATCAGATTCCGCTGACGATAATCGTATGAATAAACAAACTCGGAGACATCTTTCAAAATCTTCTATTGTGTTCCGCGGATGAACAAACGTCTAAACCAGTTTTATATTATCATGTGATTATCATAACGTGACTAATTCTGTAAAAACATGGGGGGACTGCATTCATATTACACATTATTATGACATTCTGTTACGTTTCCAGATGCCTTTCTTTCCTAGAAAAGATATTCTGACTACAGGATGTTAACTAGTTCCTATCAGTCTTGTTGGCTCTGAAACATGTTAAGTAATTGATGTTAGAGCAGAGCTGCCAACTCTCACGCATTGACCCTTTTCACACGACAGACCAGACAGAGAAGGGTACTTTTGATATAGAACAAATTCACAGCTCTCAGATTCTGTCAATTTTATTACGAAATCCTAACGATAAATATCATTTTGGCGCTTTTGAATGTGACAAATCGCTGTAGCGCCTCAGTTATAATGCACGTAAACTGATCATCTTTTTTTCACTAGCATGAATAGTAAATAAACACGAATGATCAATAGGTGTGTGTGTGTCGAAAGATACAGTAACTTACCAAAATGTATATGCCTCATATACTGAAATATCAACCACGGTCAGGTCAATACAGTAGACTACAATGTCACATAACGTTACTTTTACCTCAGGAAAGCCATAGCACGTATTTTACATTAGTTTAAATTAGTATTTTGCTAAATATTTGCATTTAGTCATTTAGCAGACGCTTTTATCCAAAGCGACTTACATCTGAGGACTAAATCAAACAAGGCAATAACAACACAACAAGTGCTCAAAATACAAAGTTCAATCATTGCTCAGAGTAGCATAAACCAGGCAAGTGAGTATTAAATCACGGAAGAGATTTTTGTTGACATATTGACATTATTTATTACTTTATATTTCTTTTAAATTGCTATTTTTTAAAACTTTAATAATACCAGCTGACGGGGCTCTCTGTAGTCTGTGTTTACAGCATTAGGCGAGTTTTCTTTCTTGAGAAAAATGAACATCTACTGTAGTAGCCTATATGTATATGTATCCAAATTGAATCAAGATCGCAATCAAAACCACAAGAATTACATTGAAATTGTAAAATTTGTATCAAGCAACAATAAAACAGTAGCCTATAGTAACCAATTATTGCACCATGCTGTCATTAAACTTAATAAAAGTATGTGACGTTAGGCTACCAAACTCAAAAGTTGTCAGCTATGTTAGAGTTTACTGAATTTGAAGCTTGTTAGTCAAGATGAATATAGCCTGGCTAACGCCAGACCACGTATCATTGAGAATGAAACTTGGTGTTCATTTTCACGTATTTGAGGCGTGGTGTACGAATGCCCAGAGCCGTATTATTGGGTGCTAATGCGGCTGTGCTCCCTCCCCGTTCTGTGATTGGTTCCCTATTTCAGGGGAAAATTTGGTTCATGGTATCCAGACTGCATGGGGAAACCCAGGCTACGAGGTAAAACTAATGTCCTTTGTCAACTCAAAGACAAAGTCGACCAATATAGATTCAATTAAAGAAATTCCAATATGATTTTTTCCAGTTGAATCCCTTTTAAACAGCCAATAGCCTGTAGTTTGTGTCAGTAACACCATACTTTGAACGAAGCACCTGGTTCTTGCAGCAGTCGATGATGGATGTCTGACCTGTGTGTCTCAGAGCTCAAGGTGATGTTGGAGCCTCCCGCCGTTCCTGCACTGCTGGGCGAGAGTGTGGCGCTCAGGTGTGCAGTCTGGGGAGGGAAAGCCGAAACCGCTGCTTTCTATAAGGATAATCAGCTAATCACAACCACAAAAGAAGACACATACATCATCACCAACGCCACACAAGATCATAACGGACAGTACAGATGTCACGCCACCTACAGGTACACCCACATCACTGCAGATGCTGCCCGGCTGGAAGGAGATTCTGATGCGCAGGAGATAAAAGTTATAGGTAAACATTACAATATTACAATAACTGCCTCACCTCATCCCTTCATTTATACATTGCAAAAAAAATATTGTTGATTTAACTTAAAAAATTAAGTAACGTGGTTGCCTTAAAATTTTAAGTTGATTGAACTGGAAAAAGTGAGTTACTACAATGAAGAAGATCGATCATCAGAAACTCAAAATAATAAGTTATCTGAACTAAATAAATGATTTAAGTTGATTTGACAAAAAGAAAAAATATTGTGATAACAAATCTTGAATATATATATTTTTTACAGTGTACACAACCACTTCTAATACTAGAACTATTAAGGATATTTTGGACATGGTACCATGGCATTTATAAAATATAACAATAATAATGATTATAATAAAACATGTTACTATACTGTATATATTTAAGTACAAGATTTATAAACAAGTATACACATTATATATGAAGAGTTCAGATGCAAAAGCCTCTAAATGCCATTTGAAATTTTCTTCTTTAATGATGATTTTTGTCAAACTTGTATATTTAAGTTCAGTGATTTCACTTAAATGGCAATGATAATTACCTTTTAATTGTTATTTAAGTGAAATTACTGGAGGTAAATATACAAGTTAGACAAAAATCATCATTAAAGAAGAAAATTTCAAATGGCATTTAGAGGCTTTTGCATCTGAACTCTTCATATGTATAATGATAATAACTCACTGTTTGCAAGTAAGATGAAGTAAGCTAAAATAAATAAAACTAATAACGCAACCCATCACATCTTTATCTTTTGTTGTTTTTACTGGCTGCATGCAAAAGCAAGCACACCGCTTCACCAGCATAGTCCGATGATTCATGAACAAATGACTCTTTAAATGATTCAGTCAGAACAACTCGGTTCGAATTAGTCTAACGAATTACTCACTGAATCTACATTTGCCAGATGCTTTAATACTACTAATAAGGATTAGGGTTGGGTATCGTTTGAATTTGAACGATTCCGATTCCTTGTTTCGATTCCGGTTCCTAACGATTCTCGATTCCGATTCTTTTAAGAGGCAGGGTCAAAAAAGTTTAGCTAACCTTGCTAACCAACGGCCTTTCTGAAGGAAATACTCCTTCTGTAAAAATACTCCTTTTGTCACAAATTTTGCATTTTGCCGAGATTTCGTTATTTTTAGAAAAGTGAAGCCACACTTTGGATCGCCGACTTAAGGTACTCATGTTCGACTCGCGTGGTTATGCCAACACTTCCGGTAGACGCTTCTTCGTTGGTGTTGTTCAGCGGTTTCTTCTTCCGCTCGGCGGACTGTGAATATGGAAACTAGGAATCGAAATTTTAACTTTTGAACGATTCCGGGAAAAACGAAAAGTTAGTCTCGGTTCCAATCGATAATCGATTCTCAAATACCCAACCCTAATAAGGGTACATATTCACTTGGAAATTAACCCATGACCTTAGCTAATGTTAAAGGGTGATGAACTGAGAAATCAATATCCTGAACTGAAAACGTCCTTGTTAAGGCCATTGCACACCGAGTCCGAAATTCACATCCGAAATTTCCACACATTAAAAACAAAATTCGACCTCACGTTATGTCAATCACGCTTGCACACAGCCTCCGAAACTTTCGTCCGTCATAAAAAAATTCGGATCGGGTTCGATTTTCTGCGTTTTTCGCATCCACAGCCAGCATTTTGAGAGGTTTTTTTCGACAATTATTCAGGGCCGGGGGGAGCTCGTTACTGTCTATGGAGCTCGTTCCACACATCATATGCGCACTGCTTTCAGTTTTCAATTCGATCAAGTGTTTATGTTCTCTTCTCTCGAGTGGACTATGAAAGGAATAACCTCCCCTTTCAATCAGTTTGAAATTTCGTTAGAAATTAGCCTATTACTTATTCATTTTGATGTTTTTTAATGTTAAAACCAAGCAAACGTCATAAGTTGACCTCAGAAAACAATATAATTTTTTTTTTAAAAACAGTTCATAACCCCTTTAAGTCACTATCCTACCAACTGAGTTACAGGAACAACAACTGAATGAATTATTTGTAAGTCATATTTGTGTGTGTGGTACAGGTGGGCCTCCTGCTCCTACAGTGGATTCAACGTCTCCAAATAGACTGAAGTGTCTCTGCAGAGGCTGTCCTTCTAACTGCATGTCCTACCGCTGGTATCACACACTTATTGATGACTTGTTTGCAAGACGAAAACTACCTGAAAATACACAAGTAATTACCGTGAAGGAAGGAGGACTGTTCAGCTGCCGGATGGAGTGTGGGAAAGGTTTCTCCCGTTTCAGCAACATTTACAGCTACGAAGGTACCCAAACACACACACACACATACACACACTCCTTAGACTTAGACACACACGCCATGTTCATTAGCCAGTGTTTAGTGTAATAAAAACTCTGTTGTAGTTTTTATTTTTATTCATATTTTAAATGAATAATGATTAAAATTCATTTCATTAAGTTCAAATAATTTAAACCTATTTTTAGATAAGTAACTTTGTAGTGTTTTTGAAATTTTTGTAAATTTTTATTTAATTGGCTAGAAATGATGCTTTGCAACTTATTGAGATGAAATAACATTTAATTTTAGTTCCAGTTAACGTCAAATTTATTTCAAGTTAATGATTTTTTTTTTTTATGAGAAATTATTTCCTGTGGTAATCAACAGCAGAAACGGTTCTCAAAGTGTCTGCAACACCTAAAAGTTTCACGCCAAAACAGATGCATGCAGAGCTGTATGAACACTTTCGTTTTCCGTGCACTTTAATGTTGACTGTAGTGACTTTCACTTCTCACTTCACAATTGTACACTTCTCATATTTTTTCTTGCATGTAAACTTATCTTCTCTCTTTTTTGTAGCCCAACCGGAGTCAGAGCCTGTAAATGTGCTGCCCATCATGGTGGCTTTGATTCTGATGGTTCTCGGGGTGTTGATCGTGGTGCTGATCGCACTGAAGCGCAGAAGACTTGAAGCAAGTGCTCAGGCGACCGCACAGGGTAAAGATAAGAAGAAAGATGGAGACTATGAGCAAATCCAACTCACCGATCAGGCGGTTTACCACACACTAGGCGAGAATACGGATAAGGACACGGCCGAGGGGGGTTATGAAGCCCTAAAAAAGAGGCAGGAGGAGGGGGTGTACCACACACTAGGAGCTGCAGAAGGTCAGGGTGAGGGTCAAGGTGCGTACGAGGCTCTTAAGAGTGTGAAAGCCGAGGTGTACCACACACTCGGAGCTGCAGAAAGTCAAGGTCAGGGTGAAGGTCAAGGCGGGTACGAGGCTCTTAAGAGTGTGAAAGCCGAGGTGTACCAAACCTTAAGTTCAGGCGACTCAAAAACACCGGCAGGAGAATCAGAGGGAGGGTATGAGCAGCTTCCTCAGAAAGATAAAGATTTTGAGGCCGTGGCAGGAGAAGAAAATCCATATGAAGAACTGAAGGCCGGAAAACAGGATAAGAAAGAGATGAGCAAAGAGAAAGAATAAAGGAACCTGTAAGAAAGAGCACCACATAAATGCTAACCAATAGTCAAATCGCTGATCTTTTTATCTCACAATTCTGACTTATTTTCTTTTAGAAAGAATTGAGAGTTTATATATAGATTTAGTTGTGTATGAAATCGCTCCCTATCCACTATATAGTGCACTATATCGGGTGTCCGCCACCGCCATTTTGTAGTGGTGCCCGAATTCTGAGTGTACGACATCATTCCCTACATTCCTTCACTACTTTTACCCACAATCCTCTCTGAATTCGAGTGTACATTCGATGTGCACTTGCTGAAGCACTATTTCCCGCAATCCAACTGGCGTGAGCAAATTTAAACCAGAGATTACATTACAGCTTTCTTATTCCTGCTTTAAAATTTATTTCATGCTAGTTTTATTTTTCTATTAATCATTACTTGAATAGAACATATTAAAACATTGAGACAATATTATATAGATGAATTGTAAAATTAAATGAAATTATATTTATATCGTTTTTTTATTAGAATACATTATTTAGGCATTAACATAATTTTATGTGTTTTATTAATGTGTTTTGATCATTTGTGGCATTGTTGTTAACTCGTTCAAATCGTCGTTGAGAAGCATATTCATTCGGATAATATAATAACGGTCGCCGGGGGGCGCTCGACGACACGTCATCTGTGAGCGCGATGAAACTACAAAGCTGGCACGGAGGTATATATAATTACAAAATAAAGTCATTATGATTGTTATTTTTGTTAAAATTATTTTACAAAGTAAGATAAAAGGAGTTTTATCAGTGCGTGTGACGAAGCCTTTTCTGTGACAGCACTAGCTAACTCTCCGACGTATAGTGTAAACGTCAGCGTCCAAATTCACTCACTTCATCTCGTTCACTCATTAGCGCACTCATATGTAAATGAGTGAACGAGTGAGCGATTTCAGACACAGCTATTGACTTTTTAACTAGCAGTGTTATGAAGTACTGAGAAATGTAATCTTGAAATTGTGAGAGAGAGTACAGAATTGCGAGTTTAGCCTCTATATCTCGCAATTCTGAGAAAAAATGTTAGAATTGTGAAACAAAAAGGTCTCTACTCAAATAGTTCCCACAGCCAAATTAATGTCACGTGACCTCCCCGCCAGGAGACGCCATCTTTGAGGTCATAACTGCTGTGTTTACTAGGTGTTCAAAGTTTTATCAGAGAATGTTGTTGTACAAAAAAATATTTATTTCTGTTTAAAATTTTACGCAAATCATTAAAAGACAAAATGAAATAAATTATACAGAGACTATTAAAACAAGACAGAGAGAGGTAGAAATACGAACATTTCGTTCATAAATCATTCATAAATCATAAATCATCAAATGGTGTGGATCCGTATGCAGTAATGCTAAGGAAGCACTGATCACTGATTATTCAGCTTTGCCCAGATACAGTATTTTCATGTGTAACGTTACCTTTATCTGGTATTGACTAGGAGTTTTTACACATGTGAGCAATTCCGAGCCTGGAAATCACTGGAGGCGTACAGTCAGATTGCCCAGGGTTGGTTTGGTGACGTTTGTCATCATAGCGAAGTAGCAAGATGCTTGACTATCTGATTATTAAAAAGCCATAGCCACGCACAACTTGATTCCCATGTTCCCCTTAAAACAGACACCGGTGATTTCTGTAATATGCGTGTACTTATTTGTACACTGAAGAATAGGGGTGGAGCGATAATTAATGTAATGGGGAACTAATTACGCGGGTTCTTTAGAGACATAATCTGAGATTGCAATGCTGAAATGTGTGAGTGTATTTGTGCGATCGAACAGTGGAAACAATGTTGTTTTGTATGTTTTAATGCCTCGTCATTTTGTTCATACAGGACATCATTTAAACTGCAAAGTGTTAACTTATATTTGCATAACCTCCGTCGTTGTTCTGACAAAAGCTTATCTTCAAAATCCCGGTTTAACTGAACCTCCGGCACGACTTTATCATCCATTGACACAGCAGGAGATGACCATTTCCACTTTTAAAGCACGAAACTCACTTCGTTTTTAACTCGTGTTGCTTCTTCTACTGTTTTTCCCTCAGCAATGGCGCCGGGTCGGCAAATGCCCGTATGTTGTGACGTCATGTGGGAACTGTTGTGTATACCTTTCTATTATTTTTAGTTAATTGAATACAGGGATAGGCTACTCGACCCCAAATTTTAAATTCTCACATCATTTACTCACCCTCTTTCTGTCTCAGCTGTATTACTTGGCTTTCTCCAGACGAAGATTTTTAGAAAACCAATCCATCATGACATGAGTAACGTTGCAGGATCAAAACCAGACCAAGTGAACACGACAGTAATCAAAGCGATCGCAGTAAGAGATTAAACAATGTCGTCTAAAGCTAAACTATAGGTGTGTGAGAAAAAAATATTAATATTTCAACTTGTAAACTAATATTTTGACAATAACCCGTAGCTTCCAGCCAACTACGGTTACGCTTCAGAAACTCGCGCGAGAAGTGCCGTCAATCAAATCAAATTCAACCGTTACTTCTCGAGCGACGAGTTTCCGCATTATTTTTGGGAGGGCCAATTTTTTTGTTAATTGGGGGGGGGGGGGGGTATTTATGAAGATTACAATAATAGCCAATGAAATAATAAAAATTTAAACAAAAACGCTTCAAAAAGTGTGTAGGTGTGTCGTGTTTCAGAAGATCCAGACGATCCCAAACAAACTGGCATCTGAGTTTGAGATCAAAAGAGATTTGACATTCTGATCAAAAACGAAACCTTAAATCAAATAGGTACAGTTAACACAGCAAACAAAGTAAGATTACAGTTACAGATCCACATTCTCAGTTTAATACATTTTCTTGCAGTTATGAGAATTCATAGACCTGTAGGTCGAGTTGTAGCCTAAGTGGAGAAAGAAAGTTAGTTTTGTGCAATAAAGCTGAAGGATTGAACCACGGAAATCTAAAGGCTATAAATGTAAATACTATTAGCATCACGCATAAATAAAATCAAACTCACACAACATAGCATATACTTGATTAACCTTTGGCAATTACACTCCCACATAATTACACAGAATCAGTTATTGTGAATATCTGCGTGAAGTTATTGATTGTACAGTTTATGCTACTAAAGTTTATCTGTGGGGCTGGAGAGCAATTACACATCATCAGCAAATGTACTTTTTTCTGAGTTTGCTAATAATTGCATTGGTTTAACAATAGATTTAGGCCATTTATATAAGCTTCATGTAAACGCATTTGGACCCTTGTTTATTTGCACCATTTCATTATTTCATCATGCTTATTGTTATATCTTAATGTGTTTTTGTTAAATATTTTTATTCATGCACGTTGTTTTGTATGTTGTTGGATTTTCTTTATGTAAGAACTTAAAAAGCAATGCATTTTCTGTTTGTTTAATTGAAGATGTATATCAAAATGACCAAAGCTGTATTAACTGTCTGTCACTCACAATAAACTTTCATTACAACCACCGGTAGTTCAGTGATTCTCCACTTAAAGGCAGAATGGTGTCCAGCATCACATTCAGGCTTGTTTGTTTCAACCACAAGAGGTCACTGCAGGATTGATTTGGTTTTGCCAGTTTCCGGGTGTATCTGGATTGAGAAGAGCTGCATGAGGAAGACGCCGCTATTTCTTCATCCAACTTCATCCAGGGACTTTGATGTATTTGCATTTGCACTGTTGTTTATTCATGCTTAATAACTTGTTTCGACTATCAAAAAGCAATGCATTTTCTGCTTGTTTAATTGAATATGTACATCAAAATTATAACTGTGTGCAGAAATAAACATTTATTGCAATGCAACTGTAGTTCAGCATCACATTCAGGTTTGTTTCAAGCTTTGACTGGGTTTACTGGTTATGCAAACTGGTTGCTCATATTTCCCATCTTATACACGGTTTATTCTTATTCCTTGTAAAGTATCTTTTTATAATTCTAAGTATTCAAATTCAATTTTTTATAAATGAAACTGTGGTTTTCATTACTCACTGACATCTGCATCTTTAGTTTCACCACCATTTATGGATCGCTGAAACTGATCCCTTCATAACATTATCACAGTAATAATACACCAGATATTATAAATGTGAATCCCAAATGCAGATCAAGAACTCAGGCCTACCTAAAACTGTAAATATTCACACACTCACAGAGTATCAAATAACTATTTAATATTAGTGAATGTATGTAAATTACATAGAGTTTTAGTTTTGCCGTAAGTCTCTCTGTTTGAACTGCAGCAATGATAATAATAACCACAATAATAAAGTTCAATCGTACAAGTTTTTTTTATACATTCACATTTCACAACATAGAACAAGTACATAGGAAACAAACCCCAAGAAACAAAAAGAAAGGAAAAAGACACAAACCGCAGTGATGTGTTAAGAACGTCCTTCTACAGAGATTTGATCATAAGTGACTATATTATCTTAATTATTCAGAGAGAGAACCACAGAAATATCACTTCATTTCTATGGGATCTGCTTCATGATTTACATTAAAGGAATAATTCACCCAAAAATGTAAATTGTGTCATCATTTGCTCACCCTCATGTCATTCCAAACTGAATGATTAACTTTCTTCTGTGGAGCACAAAAGACACTTATTTGAATACATGCGATTACAATGAATTAATCCATAAAGCATCATAACAGCAGTTCATATGACACACACACCAAAGTCTCGGGATGTTTTATGAAATGCTTGTAGCTTGACATGTCAGATCAACGTTCACTTTTGTCATAATTGCAATGATATTTCCAATATGCATATGGGGTTTACAAACTATACAAACACACATGAAAAATATTCAGTATTCAGCATGGTAGGATTTGATTCATCCTGATTTTTTTAAATATGTAGAATAAATGAATCAAATTAAAAATACATTATATTTTTTAATAATTTTAGAAAATATTTAAATTATGAAAAATTGAGGTTCTGTTTTTTTGTGTGTTTGTTTGTGCTCATTTTAATTTTGGGATAAAAAAAAAATGACCCAGACATTTGTTTTCATAAGACACCCCATTTATCCAAATAGCCAGATGATTTACAGAAGATATCAATCATTTTTGGGTGAACTTTCCCTTTAATTTGCTGATGTGCGAGTAAATAAGAGTATATTGAAAATGTCAAGTGCCATGCTGAGGAGAAAGAGAAGAAGTGCCGATAATTTCAGTTAAACTGTGTTATTTCTTTTCAGTTCTACTGTAACGAACCTGCAGGATCATCTCGTCTTCTCTACTACATCTCCTGTCCCTCTCTCGGCTATCTGTGCTATCTTTCCACAGCGTGTTGTTCATGCTAGCGGTCAGCGCTTGGCAGCGTTTTTGTCCGACTCAGAACAAAAAAGTAAAGGCTGAATATGATTGTTTTAATTAAACTATTAGAAAATTAAAGGAATGTTTTTGTCTCAATAAAAAGCGCCATTAACAACATTTGTGGGATAATATCAATTATCACAGAAAATATTTTTTTTCACTCAATTAAAAAAGACGTGCTAATTGTTATTGCGATAATAGAGACGGACTTTTATTGAAAGTGAAATATTCCTTCAATAGAATAAATTAATACAACTTTACTATGGCTACCGGTTAAATACAAAAAAAAGATCAAAAAATGAATCGTTAAAGAGAATTAGCTATCAAAAACAAAGTACCATCTAAATAGTTTATATCACTAGCCTTTAAATGTGTATTTGTCTACATGAGACCAATACTAAACACACCTCACAGTATTGGCACATGAGATCAATTCTCTAAATCTTGTTTGTAATTGAAATTATACTTTAGTTGTTCTACGAAAGTGGATTTGAACATCTATTCCAAATGTGAGTATCACCGTTTACACACAGCTTCATGATTGTCACAATTTAGGCAGAATGGCAGTAATATCTCATAACAGTAATACTGTCAAAACCTCGATGATCACTTGCTAACATACACGACCGGGAAGTCAAAAGTATGGACACACTTGACATCCACACGTTTGATTGGTCACGGTTTTAGGTAAACTCTGCATGCACTCAAACTGACACGTACACACACTCTCACACACACTTCTGCTGAATCTATGTGATATCACTAGACAGGTTTGATGTTAATTATGATTTTTTTTTGTTTATTTTGGGTCAAAACCACTTCCTGTGCCCCACTCAGTTTCTGCACGGGAGGAATATTCAGTCCTTGTTTTCCACCCGTCCTCTTCCAGCTTTACTCTTGATCTCTGAGCCCAGAATCCCTGAACATCATTCGGTCAGTCCCCTGTCCCCCTCTCCTCCGTATAGGAAGCTATTCGTGCCGACAGGTTGGACATATTCCTCTGTTTTGTCCCAGTCCGAGGCCCAGCTTCCTCCGGCTCCGCCCCCTCCAGTCCCCGCCCCATTGGGGTCACCTGATTGGATAGTTGCTCCGTAGCCGCCGCCTCCCGTTGAGCGGTACAGCTCTTCCGTTTCATCCGCTAGCTCGTCTTCTCCCAGTATACCACACTTCTCCTCGCTCGTGTTCTCAGGCTCCGCCCACGGCTGCTTCTCTCCCGACGCAAAAATACCTGAAACGCATCGGCAGTGACATCATCACTACGAGTTATGTGGACAGAAGGGGCTTTTATATATGAATCTCACAAAAACAGTCATAAAATGTCATCAAATTCCCACCCCAAAATAGTTTGAATGTCTATTTTTAGGAGTCCACAGACATGATTTTTTATTCTATATTTTAAACAATTTTATTAATGAATTCATATATAAATTTGAATATATATATGTATGTCTGTATGTATATACAGTGTGTGTGTGTATATATATATATATAAGGGCTGTGCAAAGATTAATTGCGATTAAAGTTTGTGTTTACATTATATATGTGTGTGTGCTGTGTATAATTATTTTGTATATATAAATACATATGCATGCATGTATATATTTAAGAAATATTTTGATGTACACAAATACTTTGCACAAATACTATATATATATACATATAAATACATAATCTATATTATATATAAATATAAATATTTATATATGCATAACACATTTTCTTAAATATATACATGCATGTGTGTGTATTTATTTATACAAAATAATTATACACTGCACACACAAATATATTATGTAAATACAAGCTTTTATTTTGGATGCGATTAATCGCAATTAATCTTTGCACAGCCCTAATATTATATACAGTATATATATATATATATGAAGAGTTCAGATGCAAAAGCCTCTAAATGCCATTTGAAATTTTCTTCTTTAATGATGATTTTTATCAAACTTGTATATTTAAGTTCAGTAATTCCACTTAAATAACAATTAATAGGTAATTATCATTGCCATTTAAGTGACATTACTGAACTTAAATATACAAGTTTGATAAAAATCATCATTAAAGAAGAAAATTTCAAATGGCATTTAGAGGCTTTTGCATCTGAACTCTTCATATATATATATAAATTATTTAATACAATTATTAATTTGAATAAAATTAAACATGGCATGAGGATTATAACTGAATAAATAACAGAAATAAAACTATTAATTAATAAAAATATATAAAAATATGTTCAGGCATTTTCTTTATGCTCATTTTTTTGTAACCAGACATTTTTGGCATGATGAGATTCAGCCTTTAATCCAAAGTGCCACACATATTACACACACGACAAAATACACCAACATTTTGATCAATAACTATAAATATTACATATGCCCAATTAGACAGAGATGGATGGAAGGAAATGGACAGAAATATTCACCGTAGAAGATAACTCCACCATAATGAACAAGTGAAGCAATGAGAAACACATATTGCCACTCCTCCCGCGTCTATGGAGAAACACACAGGACAAGAATGTGTGTTCATGTGTGTGTATAGAGATCTCGTGCATAACATTTCAGATAATGTGTGCAACCTAACCCTAATGTGAGAGAAACAAGAGCAGAGAGAGAAGGGACGATGTGCATGAACTAAATGTGATGGGCAGGAACAGAGAGATGTGATTCACATGACACATGATCTCTCACATCCGTGTCTATGCTTCAAGATCAATACCTTGTTTTTGGTCATGGCACCAACAATCAGAGGGCACACCATGCCGGAGAGCGTTCCCACGCCGTTAGAGATGCCCATCAGAATACTGGCGTAGCGAGGAGCGATGTCCAGATGATTTACATTGAACCCTGAAGGAGTGAAAGGAGTTTTTTTTTTATATTTTTAAAAGAAATACATTTTATTTGATCAAAAATACAGTAAAAAATGTTTCTATTTGAATATTGTAAAGTGTAATTTATTCCTGTGATCAAAGCTGATGTTGATCATCATTACTCCAGTCTTGAGTGTCACATGATCCTTCAGAGATCACTTTAATATGATGAAACATTTATGATTATTATAAATGCTGTAAACTGTTCTGATGCTGCATATTTTCGTGGAAACTGTGACGCTTTTTTTTTTTTTTCAAAAAAATAATAACAATAGAAATTCCCACCCAATTTTTTAAAATAAATAATTTAAATATTTTTTTTATAATATATCCTATAATTTTATCCAATTATTTTTTGTTGTACAGCACTTTGGTTTCTGCATCTGTTGTTTTTAAATGTGCTTTATAAATGAATAAACTAAACTAATTTTAATAATTGTATTCATTTATATATAAATTTAAATAAGTGCAGTATACACTCTTAGAAGAAAAGGTTCTATATAGAACCTTTTAAGAACCTTAAAAGGTTCTATCAGTGCTACGTATTTGGAACCCCTAAAAGGTTCTATACACTCTTAAAAAAGGGTTCCTCTGGGTTCTATATAGAACCCTGGGGTTCCATACATGGCCAATAGAAACTTTTACCAAAAAAATGGTTCGATATAGAACCATTTTGGAGTTCCATATATGAAGCGGGGGATGGCACCATTTCTGGTTCTAAATAGAATCATTTCTTCTAAGAGTGTATATACATATAGATTTGTTGTTCAAGAAATATTTCTGCGTATTGTCAATGTTGGAAACCGTTCTGCTGTTTTTCTGGAAATTGTGACGCAATTTTTTCAGAAAGTAAAAAAAAACAGCATTTATTTGAACATTATAAATGTCTTTACTGTCACTTTTGATCAATTGAGTGCATCATTCTTTGCTTTTGCAAGGCAATGTATGTTCTCACAGTACCTGAGATGGCAAAACCACTAAATCCAACAGCAAGGACAAGAAACGAGATGGCGACACCCTTCGTGTGTGAGAAACCCACCACCAGAAGAAACGTGGCCTCCAGCCCGAAACCTAAACACACACACACACACAACTTCAGATGTCTCACTGACAGCAGCATCCAGACTGTGTACGTTATTGATTGAATAGATGAATAAGTAAGCATACAGTATATATTTATATATATATATATAATATGTAATGGCTTTACCTCCACAGTTCATGAGTTTCCTGACGTTTGTGGTGGACATCAGGTTGTGACTCCTCAGGTAGTCGGCCAGCTGTCCTCCGATCGGCACGACGATGGTCATCACCAGATGAGGAAGAGCAGAGACCAAGCCGACCTACAGACAGAGAACATGGACGAGTGTGGCGAGTATCAACTTCGGCTCACATTGTTCTCCTCAAATAACAAACTAATCAAAAAAAAAATACATTTTTTAAATAACAAGTAATACGGAAGCATATTGCATTCACTTGAGGAAACTAAATCTACTCTGTTTTTCTGAATTAAGTTAATTATCATGGAAATATAATTTTTCATGGAATAGGTTTTTGCTCCGTTTTTTTTCTGAATTAATGACTTGTTTATCACAAACTCATTAATTCATAAAAACAGAGTGAAAAAAAAGTTTTCAAGAAAAATATATAGCAGAATTCTGAGATAATCAACTCATTAATTAAAAAAAAAAAAATCATCATCATAATCTAAGAAAATTAACTCGTTAATTCAGAAAAACAGAGCAGATTTTTTTCTTCAAGTGAATGCAATACGGTTCCGTAAAATAATCATTTTATTATCTTTATGAATATTTTAACCCACAATTTTAATGCAGAAAATAACGATTATAATAACCCACACCAAGCAATTATTATAATACTATTGATATAACTATTCATATTTGAATTTTTGTTATCATATTATTAATAACAACAATGAATATTATTAACAAATATTATAACCCACACTAAGCAAATCAACTATTATGATGAATACTGAATACACAACACTGACTAATCAATCTATGATTCTTGTCATCTGAGCACAGTGTGAGATGACCTTCTCTCACCTTGCTGATCTCAAACTTAAACACCTCCTCGAAGTACGCCGGCTGGCTGATGAGCAGCAGGTAGAACGTCCAGCTCCTGCAGAAATTGGCCACGATGATGGCGTAAACGGGCATCGATGTGAAAAAATGACGCCATGGAGTGTTAAATTTCTGCGTGAGAGGTGAAGAAGGAGAGATGCTGCAAGAGTTTCTATAGTCAGTGTTTAAACATGTGCGTGTGTGTGTGTGTTCGTACCACCAGTGGGTTCACGAGGCCAGCTGACTCCCCGATGGCTTCCTCGATGTATTTCCTCTCCTCCGGCGTGATGGTCGGATGAGCCGCCGGACTCTCGTAGGACACCAGAATCCAGAACAAATACCAGCAGACCCCAAAACTACCTGCAGCCAGAGAGACGGAGTCCAGTCAGATTTGACCATAATAACTACCGTGGTATGTGTGTAAACAGCAACCTATCATCCTAAACAGCAGACTGGCCCATTTTCTCAGTGTCAAATAGGCTTCCAAACAAAATATCGCACATCAGACCACATATACACACACTCTCCATACCTTAGACCCCATTTACACCTGGTATTAAAATGCGATCTGTATCAAGTTATCCGGATAATAAAAAACGCATGTTAAAGGGTTAGTTCACCCAAAAATGAAAATTCTGTCAGTATTTACTCACCCTCATGTTGTTTCAACCCCGTAAGACCTTCGTTCATCTTCGCAACACAAATTAAGATATTTAAGATATTAAGATCGCTCCTGCATACAGTCCATAGGCTTCTTGAGGGACTGGCTCTTGCTGTCAACGAAAAGTCATTAAAGACATCGTTAAAATAGTCCAAGTGACTACAGGGGCTCAATCTTAAGTTTATCAAACGACGAGAACACTTTTGTGCGCAAAAAAACAACAAAAATAACGACTTTATTTCAACTATTCACTTCCTTCTCCATGAGCCTGTAAGTCAGTTAACGTAGTGTGATTGCGTAGAGCTACGTCACACGTAGGCTCACTATTGGCCGACGCTGGTCATGTGTGTGTGATGCGTGTGACGTACAATAACAGAAGCTTACGCTTAAACTAGTAACCTGACTCGCGCAGAGGGAGAAATAAACCAATAGTTGAAATAAAGTCGTTATTTTTGTTGTTTTTTTGCGCACAAAAGTGTTCTCGTCGTTTGATAAACTTAAGATTGAGCCCCTGTAGTCACTTGGACTATTTTAACGATGTCTTTAATGACTTTTCAAGGACAGCAAGTTTCATTCCCTCAAGAAGCCTATGGACTGTATGCAGGAGCGATCTTAATATCTTAAATATCTTAATTTGTGTTCCGAAGATGAACGAAGGTCTTACGGGGTTGAAACAACATGAGGGTGAGTAAATACTGACAGAATTTTCATTTTTGGGTGAACTAACCCTTTAATGCAAGGTGTAAATGCGTTATATGATCGGATAGTGATCGGATCTGCCTGACCACATGTGGAGGTAGTCTGGCTCGCGTTGTGTTCGGATCTTTACTAGGTGTAAACGCAATCTGGTTGTTGAAACCACATATTTTACTCCTCCTAAAAATGCTAAAAAATAAACGAGTGAGAGCGTGTTATATAGGCTATATATGTCATGTTATAGTCAGATATGACGGCGCTACTGCGACACGCATCACCGCAGATGAGCAGCTGAGCGTCTATTCATCAAGCCAACGTGCAAACATCGCAAATAAAAGTGAAAGTAAGTCACAGTAACACACAATCATCTTCAAGTAAAGAAACGAAATGATCTTACCAGCGGTGTTGCTACTCTCTCTTATTGATGTCTTTGATTTGGAAATTAGCTGATGATCAATAAAATGCAGCTCATATCTGTTGCTTTTGGTGGCGTGCAATCCATTAAATCTGCATATAACGCGGGAGTTGAAGATCGGATTTATATCCGTTTTGCAAAAACACATTTATGTGGCCGGGTGTAAATGGAATCAGTACTTATTATCCGGATAACTTATCTGGATACAGATCGCATTTTAATACCAGGTGTAAATGGGGTCTTAGTCGACGAGCAAATAAACGAAAACAAAAGTAAAACTTTCTCTTGCTTTGTTGACTACAAAAAAGCTTTTGACTCCATTTGGCATGAAGGTCTTTTTCTTCAATTAATTAAGTGTGGCATTGGAGAAAAAACATATGACATCATCAAATCAATGTACACAAACAACTAATTTGCAGTTACAATTGGTAGCAAACACACAGAGGACAGGGCTGCAGCTTAAAGGCATACTCCACCCCTGGAAAGATGAATGTGTATTTAAAATCATTTATGTAGAATTTTTTTTTTTATTATTATTAATTATAATTAGAAAATTATTAAATTATTATTATAAGAAAATTGAAAAAAATATTTTTGAATTTGGAGCTTTCTAGACAACATGATCAAACACACGCAGGACTACACTTACCTGGGCATAAATATTAGCAACACAGGTCATGTTAAAAAAGCTGTTAACAACTTGAGAGAGATGTTCATGCTATAAGAGAAATATCCAAATTGACATCCCAATCAGAATCTGGCTAAAAATAATCAAAACTGTAATAGAGTCCATAAGGCGGGTGTGAAGTCTGGGGTCCACTCACACCCCATAGAGACTCTGCAGACCGAGCTCTTGCTACGAGTTCAGCGCAAAACCCCAAGTAGAATTAGGATTAAAACCCCTCATTGTAATAACTATTCAAAAAAGAGCCATTAAATTCCATCCTCAAACATTGGACAGACGCAACAGGCAGACAGAGTAAACTGGAGTGCTATTTGGGCCTAAACAGAAGTTCATTGGCAGGATACCAGAGTACAGTGGGCGACCCGAAACTGAGGAAAATCCTGAGTGTGTACCGGCTCAGTGAACACACACTGAGCAGAGAGGCAGGCAGACACACACACACACACTACAGGCACACCTGGCTGACGAAGGAAGAGCGACTCACTGCTCAGAGAACCAAGTGGAAACAGAGCTTCACTTTTTGACATCCAGCCCCAACAGAAACACTTCAGTCAGAAATCTAAAATGGACACACTCACACTACTGCTAGGAGAAAGCCCAGCGAGCTCAAACCTCCCTGCCAGGTACATGTGTGTGTGTGTGTGTGTGTGTGTGTGTCAAGCTCAAACCTGGGAGACAGAGAGAAGGAGAGATGGACAGAAGGAAAGAGAGAGAGATGGAGAGAAGAACATCATGACCCAACATTAGTGTGTGTGTGTGTGTGTGTGTGTGTGTGTGTGTGTGTGTGTGTGTGTGTGTGTGTGTGTGTGTGTGTGTGTGTGTGTGTGTGTGTGTGTGTGTGTGTGTGTGTGTGTGTGTGTGTGTGTGTGTGTGTGTGTGTGTGTGTTTGTGTCTCACCATATAAGTAGAAGACTGAGGGCCAGCCTGAATACTGAACCAGAACCCCAGCTAACGGCATGGCGATCACAGCGCCTGCGTATGAACCTGAGCAACACAACTCATCACATATACACTAGTACATCTATACAAAAACCACACACTCTTAGAAGAAAAGGTTCTATATAGAACCTATCAGCGCTACGTATTTGGAACCCCTAAAAGGTTCTATACACTCTTTAAAAAAAGGGTTCCTCTTCTATATAGAACCCTGGCGTTCCATACATGGCCAATAGAACCTTTTACCAAAAAAAATGGTTCTATATAAAACCATTTTGGAGTTCCATATATGAAGCGGGGGATGGAGCCATTTCTGCTTCTAAATAGAACCATTTCTTCTAAGAGTGTACATTTATTCAGTCCGAAATATGAAATATGAATAAAAAAACAACATTAATGATAATAATTATAATATCATTCATCATTTGATATATATTGTTACTTATAGATAATATAAACAATCAATAATACATTTTTGGGCCAATATAATTAAAATGATTAAAGGTTACTAGCAATTTTCCACAGATATTAAAATACAAAGCAAAAATAATGACCTCACCACAGAACGCTGTTGTGGCCAATCGGCTTCTTTCCAGAGGCGGGGCCCATTTGGCCCAGATCCCGTGGCATGCTGGGTAAGATACACCCTGAGCAGAAATGACAATAACAGTAGATGAAGTCATAGATGATAGACAGAGCAATCTTGTGCTTCAGTCACACAATACCCAGAAGAACGTGCAGAGGTCAGTCAATCCTGCACAGTACGCCACACTGCGGGGGATGCTACGTTTAAAAGTATTACATCATATCATTTGTGTTTATATATATACTGTTTTTACCTCCACCAGCCCCTGGAGAACCCTCACAAAAATCACACAGCTGAAGTGAATGCGAGCTGCCGAGGGAATCATCATATTCAGGACAGACGTGGACACGACTGCAAAGCCAAACACTCTGAGGAACAGAGAGAGAGAAACTGCATCAACTGTGTGTGTGTGTGTGTGTGTGTGTGATTTAAAGACTGCGTGACTGACCGGTTGGCTGCAAACTTCTGACAGATAAAGCCTCCTGGAATCTGAGTGACGATATATCCCCAAAAAAACGATCCGTGAATCATTCCTACAGTCTCTGGGTCCCAGGTGAACTGAGCTTTCTGAAACACAGACACAACTAATAAGAACATAATGCTCCAACAACACGACTGCATTGCCTTAAATTATAATATTGCTTTTATTAATGAAATGCACCAAATAAATCGATGTGCAACGATAAAATAAAATGGGAAATAACTAGTCGAGTCATGTGACAATATTGTAGTGTATTGTTGCATGATGTTTTACACTACTTTAGTATGCAGTGAGTAAATACTGACTCTAAAAAGCATTTAATATCATTTGAGCAGCGTAACTGCACGATTATCTGGACAAAAAGACAACATTGCAGAAAATCTAGTTGGGTGGAAATTGTTCATGAAACTGATTCAATTGTAAGCGTGTGACATTAGCTATGCTTCCATCCTCCTGTTTTTAGCTTTTTGCATTTAGGGATATCACATAAAAAAGGCTGGAGGCGCATAAAAACAAAGTGTGCATAAAAACATAAGCAGTGACGATTTTGTTCTCTTAAACACATTGGATGGAAACGCTGCTTTATTCGCAAATGTTTTATGTGATATTCCAATATTGCGTTAAATTGTTAAATTCGTTAAAAATGTAAAATTGTTAAATTCGCCACTTTGAATGGAAATATAGTGACATTATAGGATTAGTTCACTTTTAAAAAAACTTTTGCTGATAATTTACTCACCCCCATGTCATCCAAGATGTCCATGTCTTTCTTTCTTCAGTCGAAAAGAAATTAAGGTTTTTGATGAAAACATTCCAGGATTTTCTCCATATAATGGACTTCAATGGGGTCCAAACGGCTCAAGTTCCAAATGAGAGTTTCAGTGCAGCTTCAAATGTCTTTAAAGTCTTATCTAGCGAAACGATCGCTCATTTCAAAAATAAATAAAAAAGTTTAAGTTTTATAAGCACAAATGCTCGCCTTGCTCTGTTCTGTGATGCGCGTTCGTGACTCTCCTCGAACGCACATCAAAACTTTGTGCTTATGAAAATTTAACGTTTTTATTCATTTTTGAAACGACTGATCGTTTCGCTTGATAAGACCCTTATTCATCGTCTGGAATCGTTTAAAGCCCTTTGAACAGTTTGCAGTTTGCACTGAAACTCTCATTTGGACCTTGAGCCGTTTGGACCCCATTGAAGTCCATTATATGGAGAAAATCCTGGAATGTTTTCATCAAAAACCTTCTTTTCGACTGAAGAAAGGGTGGGGTTCAAGAAACAATACCAAATTTGCATGGAAAAACTTAAAAAGTGCTGCGGTGAAAATAGTTCAACTCGCACACGAAAACCAACTTACCACGACGTACGGCTTGCCTTCTCTATAGACGGTGTGGTTGTTCACCATGCTAACCACAGCCACACCGAGGTTACAGCGGATCCCGAAGGAGATGCAGAATCCCAGGCCGGACAGGATAGCGATGATGTAGCGTCGGGGCAGGCCGAAACACGTGCAGTCCACCACCGGGAGATCCCTCTCCTCCTGGAGCTCAGGACGACCCTCCGCCGACAGCTCGATCGTCTCGCCATTCTCCTGACGCTTCTCAAGAACCCTGACAAACACACAGAGGCTCTTTCAATGCTTCATACACCACTAAAGCCTTCCAACTTGAGAATCCATGAGAAAAATCTCTTTCATATCTCAGTTTTCTCTCTAGACAGTAACAAGAGAGCTGGAGGCTTTTGCTGAAGAAAGACTTGTGGTTCTCCTGAGAAACAAACCTTAATAAAGTCTTAAAATAAGCTCAACAAAACAGAGAATCTCATCAAATTCTTATAAGATACACTCTGAGCTGCTCCACACTCGATTATTATGGCTAAACTTAAGATTTACTGTATGCACTGTAAAAAATATTTTCAAGATTTGTTATCACAACATATTTTCTTTTGTCAAATCAACTTTATAATAATTTATTTAGTTGATATAACTTATTATTTTGAGTTTCTGATGGTTAAATTAATCTCCTTCATTGTATTAACTCACTTTTTCCAGTTCAATCAACTTAAAATTTTAAGGCAACCCAGGTTACTTACTTTTTTAAGTTAAACCAACAATATTTTTTTACAGTGCAGTAATCACAACATTTTATCTTTTCTCAAATCAACTTAAATAATTTATTTAGTTCAGATAACATATCATTTTGAGTTTCTGATGGCTAAATTAATCTCCTTCATTGTATAAACTCACTTTTTCCAGTTCAATGAACTTAAAATTTTAAGACAACACAAGTTACTTACTTTTTTAAGTTAAACCATCAATATTTTTTATTGATGGTTTACATATTATTGGTGTTAATATGTAATATGTATATTTCAGATTTCTGTAATAGCACTAATAAACTGTTAAATATGCAATAATCAGGTTCATATTATTATTATTATCAATTCAATTAATCTCATACATTTGAACTAATTTATTGCTAGTTCCACAGCAAGCCATAGTACATTTGTTAAAAAAAAAACACTGAACACATGCTGATTTTAAGAAATTTGAATAAATGTGTCCTTAAATTTTATTAATCAAATCAAATAGTTAATAATATAAGTTTTGGAGTGCAGAAATCTTACATGTTTAATTTATGACTGAAAAACATACATCACATTAACTTTATTGATAAACTATGTAATCCAAATGGATCGAAACTCAAATACACACATCTTAAATGGAATCATAAATATTGAGTGCACATTAATAATTCATTTGCATACATAGCAATAATTCATTTATAGCTCTAAACTCTAAAGGTATGGCAATTTTTATTTGCATCTGTTTGTGTTTAAGGGATTTTAGGAGAAAAATCTCAGAGTTTAGCTTTTAAAGACATTTTAATGCTTCTGATGTTCATGAAGCAAAAAAAGTAGTGAAACGCTTCCCAGTTCACACTCATAATGAACCGATGTGTCACATCTAATCCAGATTAAACACGCACATGCTATGAAAAGCAGCAGTTTCCTCTGTCCACAAACATCACAGAATCACATGAAATATTCATAAATATCGTCCGAATAATATGAGAGCGGTGTTTGACTGTACAAAACTCCCAGTTTGCATACTTATGCACTATTCTATGATGTTTTGTAGTATAAAAGTGCACTTTAAAAACCTGCATGATGCACTTAATTACCTGAAAAAATTAAAAGTGGAATGTTGGATGGATAGAATCGAATGTCACACAATTTTAATTAGCCTATGTAACGAAGGGGGATGACAAAATAACCTTCATTCATACAATACACAGTTGAGAATATACTCTCAGAAAAAAAGGTACAAAAGCTGACACTGGGGCTGTCCCTTTTCAAAAGGTACACTTTTGTACCTAAAGGCCGCATATTGGTGCCTTAATGGTACATATTAGCACCTAAAATGTACATATCACCTGAAATGTACGTATTAGCACCTGAAATGTAAATATTAGCACCTAAAATGTACATATTAGCACCTGAAATGTACATGTTAGCACTCGAAATGTACTTATTAGCACCAAAAATGTTCATATTAGCACCTAAATGTACATAGTAGCATCTGAAATGTACATATTAGCACCGAAAATGTTCATATTAGCACCTAAAATGTTCATATTAGCACCTAAATGTACATATTAGCATCTGAAATGTACATATTAGCACCTAAAATGTTCATATTAGCACCTAAATGTACATATTAGCACCTAAAATGTTCATATTAGCACCTAAATGTACATATTAGTACCTAAAATGTACATATTAGCACCCGAAATTTACATATTAGCACCTAAATGTACATATTTGCACCTAAAATGTTCATATTAGCACCTAAAATGTACATATTAGCACTTAAATGTACATATTAGTACCTAAAATGTACATATTAGCACCTAAATGTACATATTAGCACCTAAAATGTACATTAGCACCTAAATGTACATATTAGTATCTGAAATGTACATATTAGCACCTAAAATGTTCATATTAGCACCTAAAATGTACATATTAGCACCAAAAATGTACATATTAGCACCAAACATTTACATATTTATCATCTGAAATCTACATATTAGCACCTGAAATGGACAAAAGTTTACCTTTTGAAAAGCCCCAGTGACAGCTTTTGTACCTTTTTTTTTCTGAGAGTGTACAGTAGTGCAGGGTATGGCGACACAACTTTAGTGAAGTAACAGCACAATAATTCCCTCAACAAGACGCATGATTTGAAGACACACGCAATCAACCTTTCAATGGCCCTAAATATGTGCAGGAGTAATAAGCTTCACATCAGATGTGTCAAAGATCTGATCTTTACAGTGGTGAAGGTCCATGTGAATCTCTCATCACTGTTAAGTACAGACTCTTCCCGTCAGGTTACAGCACCACTGCAGCTGATGAAATAATCATGTTCCTCAGAGTCTGAATTATTGATCAAACCTTCTATTTTAGTCTATTTCTGCCTCTCTTCTCCCTCCCCCTCCATCCATTCTTCCCTTCTGTTCTCCTAAATCAGTTCATCCAGTCCCATCCCATCTACACTGCAAAAAATACTTCTGCACTCATAATTACACAGAGACGGCAGGTAACGCGTCGATTTAAACATGCAATTTTGAAAGTGTTCTCTTGTATAAAATAACTAAATAAAATAAAGATTAACATGGGAAAAAAAATGCCCAGACAACAAACTGAAATAAGTTTAATCTGAAGCACTGAAATAAACAAACTGAACAACAACAATAGGAAATAAATCAGACATACACTCTCAGAAAAAAAGGTACAAAAGCTGTCACTGGGGCTGTACCTTTTCAAAAGGTACACTTTTGTATCCAAAGGCTACATATTGGTACCTTAGTGGTTCATATTAGCACCTAAAATATACATATTAGCTCATGAAATGGACTATTAGCACCTAAAGTGTACATATTAGCACCTAAAATGTATTAGTGCCTAAAATTTACATATTACCACTCAAAATGTACATATTACCACCTAAAATGTACATATTACCACCTAAAATGTACATATTACCACCTAAAATGGACATGTTAGCACATGAAATGGACATATTAGCACCTAAAATGTACATATTATCACCTAAAATGTACATATTACCACCTAAAATGTACATATTAACACCTAAAATGGACATATTAGCTCATGAAATGGACATATTAGCACCTAAAATGGACATATTAGCTCATGAAATGGACATATTAGCACCTAAAATGTACATATTAGCACCTAAATGTACATATTAACACTTCAAATGTACATATTAACACCTAAAATGTACTGTACATATTAACACCTAAAATGTACATATTAACACCTAAAATGGACACATTAGCTCATGAAATGGACATATTAGCACCTACAATGTACATATTATCACCTAAAATGTACATATTTCTACCTAAAATGTACATATTAACACCTAAAATGGACATATAAGCTCATGAAATGGACATATTAGCACCTAAAATGTACATATTAGTACCTAAATGTACATATTAACACTTAAAATGTACATATTAGCACCTAAAATGTACATAATATCACATAAAATGTACATATTAGCACCTCAAATGTATATAACCTAAAATGGACAATGTACCTTTTGAAAAGGTACAGCCCCAGTGACAGCTTTTGTACCTTTTTTTCTGAGAGTGTATAGTAAAGACATGACAAAAGCACATAACAAAAATCTAAAGTGAAAATATAAGTTAATTGAATATGAATTTAGAAACTACTAAAATAACACTGTGCTGACAAAAATATGTCAATATTTCAATATTATTTGCATGAACAGAATTTCTCAATTCACTCAGTACTATTTTAGATGTCACAAAAACCAAATTGAATAGTTGCTGGTCACTTTATGCATCGGTTCACGTCAGTTCCTGTTTAAACCAGAATAAACTGCAAAGTGAACCACTTCTCACGGCTTTGGGCTCGTACGGCACAAAACATACACCATGTTTCACCCACAATGGTGAAAAGCCACACATGCATGGCATCATCAGAAGACCAGACGGTCGTTACATGTTTCTGCCGCAGACGAGGAGGGTGTTTGGCCAATATAATAACCTGTTGATCCCATTTGATCTGATTAGGAATCCATACTCAAGTAAGAGAAGTGAGCTTTTAAATGGCCGTTTATACGTAACAACATCCTCCTCATATTGTGCAGGAAGAACTAACAGTTTAATGACACTGTCCAGTAATAGCAGACGTGACGTGGACGACCGTGATGACTTGTGGGAGAGAGAGAGAGAGAGAGAGAGAGAGAGAGAGAGAGAGAGGATTTAACTAGCAGCAGGTTAGTTGGAGATCTATTTCAGGACTGGATTTACACGTTAAAGACCGCTCAAAATCCAGAGAAACAGACAGACAGAGACAGTGAGATTGTGTTTTTCCCAGTACGCTAATGTGACAGATCAATGCAAGTTGATTTGATTTTTACAAGTATAAACACTGCTTAAATGAATTGGTAACACTTTACAATAAGGTTCATTAGTTAACATTAGTTAATGGATTTACTAACATGAACTAACCATGAGCAATACATCTGTTACTGCATTTGTTCATCTTTGTTAATGTTATTTCATGAAAATACAGCTCTTCATTGTTTGTTCATGTTAGTTCACGGTGCATTAACTAATGTTAGCAAGATTTTAATCAAGTATTAGTAAATGTTGAAAATAACATTAACAAAGATTAACAAATGCTGTATATGTGCTATTCATTATTAGTTCATATTAACTAATGTAGTTAAGTAATGTTAACTAACGAACCTTATTGTAAAGTGTTACCAATGAATTACATATTTATCTGCATATAGATCATTTAAATACGAAGACCTTTTGCCCTTGGGGATAAAACTAGTACTTGTACTTCTGCAGGAAACTATAATATTTATTTAATATGCACCTTTAATATTACTAATTATTCCATTGATATCGAAGAATTGATTATAATATTAAATATTGAACGTCATTAAGTATTAAATGACACATGAATACTTAACCAGTGTTCATTACAAACCAATATTGAACAATTTACTGCTCTTGATTGCTTGTTTTAGAAAGCATTTCATCATTATCTTTTTTGTTTTTTCACCATATAGTTCTCTTAATAAATCATTTTCAATGAATTACAATCTAAAATCTGTAACAAGTGCATTATTTATAGTTATTTTGCCCTATACATAATGAATACTGTTTGGTTTGTTCATTTAAAACAGGAACATTGTGAGGGAAGTATATATTATTCATTTAAAATTATTTTATAATTAATCTCAGAAGCAAGTTTAGCTGCAAAAAAACTATAGTGAAAAACTATAAATGCAGAAAATCCTAAAAATCCAGATATAATACTATAGCATGATAATAATTTAATGTAAAATGTGGATTTATACACTGTAAAGGGTAAACGCATCAACGGCTATACATTAAGGTCAAATATACAATTGAACAGTAGGCCTACTACTCAACAAAAAATGTATAGGCGGCTATTATAAAAATGGATAATGTAGATTACCAGGGAGTGTTTTAAATGATCAGTAGCCTACGCTTAAAGTAACATGCACACCCTATTAAGTGTGTTTTCTAAATCTGGGCATCTTTAAATGATGCCATGATGCAGAACGGAAGTGGTCACCTGACAGGTGAAATGTGACGACACACACCGGACAAGAGTCGCTATTAATAGAGTCCAGTCGAGTTAATCTGGTCGCGTTAATAAAGACACACTCACACACACACCTGACAAACAACTACACAAACGAGTATCTCCTCAATGTCTAATGTCATTGAAATGAGCATCAAAGCACTGAAAGAGAAACTTAAATCCTGTCTTTATCTTCTATATGACTGTATTGTGTGTGCGGTCCCTAATCCCACCATATATCTCAATATCTTATCTTTACAATATATGTTATGATATAAATATCAACTATTGGCTAAATAGTTTTGATCAGAATTAGACCTCACTGAGCTCAATTTCAATGCTTTAACTATGCAGAATTGGACATTCAACTGTTAATATGAACACATAAACCTTCTTAGGCATTTCTTTAAAACTTTAATAAGTTATTTTAGCGTCTTACCGGTTTATTCTTCCAAGTGTCTTGGCCGCTGCTGCTTTAAAGCGCTCAGGTCGGACCTCCATCCTCTACAACTCACTGCGGGACCGGGAGAGATGTGCGCGCTCCTGCTCTCACAAGCACTCACCCACCCCCTCACACACACACACACACACACACACACGCTAATACTCTCCCCCACACACACAGACACGCGGGCGCGCATGCACCCGTAGCCTACACACACATAAAGGCACCCTAACATCAAGGACGACTTAACAATCTCTGCATAACAACACCATAATAGTTTAAAAAGTTTTAACAATCGTTATAATTACTAAGAGAATAATGAAAGTCCACCACGACGACGACAGCAACGATATCGTTTGAATCAATAACGACTTTTCAACCCGACAGCCAATCAGAATCCATTCTGAGTGCGCGCATTTAAAGCGTTGGTGTGGACGCTATGGCCGTTATCGTTATAGTTCGTGGTGTGAATGTGCCTTTACAATAATGTAATTGTAAAAATCGTTGTAAATTTAAGAACCACAACTATAATGATAACTACACGAACGATATGGTTGGAATTACTTTCAAAACAATTTTTCCAGACGATAATAGCCAATCAGAAATATCTCCCGCTTGAGCATTTAAAGTGGAAAAAAAGTGTTTTTCTGTTAAAAAATAAATAAAAAATAAAAAAATGCCCCCTTATGAAAACAATACCTAATAGGCCTAAATAAATAAAATGCCCCCTTGTGAAAAACAAAAAACTAAAAAAAAACATTGACAGCCAATCAAAATCCATTCTGAGCGCGAGCATTTAAAGTGACAGACAATACAACTGGTGTGGATGCCTATACATAATTCCATGTCCGGTGCCTCAAACATAATTCCTGGAATGACACTCCCAAAGGAATACCGGTCGATCAATTCTTGGAGAAAAGCCAGGGGTACAGGGCAATGAACCCAGCATTAGTGTCTAAATAACTTTATTTGCGAGTTGCTGCATCAACGATATGTTGATTAGACTCGGAGAAACTGTTTGACTAGTTTAACACGGTGTGGTAGTATAATGAACATGGACGATGAAGCTCTGCTATCAATGTGTGTCACTGTCCAAGGTGCTGAAATGAGATTACAGTAAATCTGTAAGAGTGAAGAGCCGGCGTGCTCACACGACTTAAACCCTCCCTCTGTGTGTGTGTGTGTGTGTGTGGTCGGGCCCCGATCCCTAACCCTGGCATGCACGCACACTAGCAGTCTAATTTTAATCCACAAGGCAAATAAAATGTGAGACACCTAGTGGACACAATATGCCACTACAAACAACTCAAGAAGCCGAATGGGACGGGATGTTTTCTTGGTTCTGGAACAACATTAACTTACGTTGTCCTATGTGATTGTCTGTTAGTGTCAATATGTTATTTCTGTTTAAATTAGTCACTATTCCTTAGTCCAGAGCAAACAACAAGCATTTTGTTGCAAAACATGTTTCCAAAATTAGAGAACTGATCTAAGTCCTAATTGAAGCTATATTTTCTTAAAATATAAATAAAGAGCTGAACAAAGATACATTTTTTTTTGTAAAGAAAGTAATCTTTTATTCAGAAACTAGCCTACATTAAATTGATGATAAATAATAATTAAAAAAAATAGTACAGACTCCAAAGTTTTTAATGTTAGTGGATATTATAGTGATTTATTTCAAAATACGTTCATGATAATTTAAACAACTTATCTCAAATATTAATCATAGAATTGTGTTATTTCATTATGCCTAATGCATGTTAACCAAATGAACCTTAATGTGAAGTGTTACCAAATATTGAACACTTGAACTCTATTCATTCTGTTCCAGTTCACGCTATTCAAATAATTACATTTTTAAAGAATAAAATAGAACTTTACAATCACAAAATCTTATATTCTGTATATTAATAGCAAAGGAAATAAATAGAATAGGACAGAAAACAACAGAACAGAACACCCAATAATAGAATAGATCATTAAATCTTTACAGCATGTTACATTCAGAACAATAACAGCAGCCCCTGAAGAGCTTAGTCAAGTTAAAATGTTTGCAGAGGTTATAGAAGCCGGATAATGTGTCAGAGGTCACGCCACTTTTGCATTCAGCTGTAAAATGAACCCTCACACACACACACACACACACACAGGCTCAGAGGAAGCTCTTCTCCAGAACCTGGGCTGAGATAGTCCTCAGAGGTGGCGTTTGGGACAGAAAAAGCGAGTGAAAGGGAGAACACACACACACACACACACATGGGCTCAAGGGAACCTCTTTTCCAGATCCTGGGCTGAGATCGTCCTCAGAGGCGGCGTTCGGGACAGAGAAAGCGAGTGAAAGGGAGAACACACACACACACACACACACACAGGGACACACACACCACACACACACACACACACACACACACACACACACACACACACACACACACACACACACACACACACACACACACACACACACACACACACACACACTCACACTCACTCAGAGGAAGCTCTTCTCCAGATCCTGGGCTGAGATCGTCCTCAGAGGCGGCGTTCGGGACAGAGAGAGCGAGTGAAAGGGAGACGTTCGCTGAGGAGGTGAAAGAGGAGGAGGAAGAGTGATTATTGAAGGAGTGTCAGAGAGAGATCCGTAACTCCGTCCTCCACCTTTCTCCATCCTCTGCTGCATCCATCCCTCCATCACATAACCAGAAAACACAGACGAGGACGAGCTGCTCAGATCCAGAGCGATATCTGACGGAGAACCACACAGATTATTATTATGTATTCTTAATAGGGCCGTCAAACGATTAATCGCATCCAAAATAAGATTTTTATTTTAGATAATATATGTGGGTGCTCTGTGTATAATTATTTTATATATATAAATACACACACATGCTTGTATATATTTAAGAAATATTTCGATATACTGTAAATATAATTTATATTATATATAAATATTGTATAAAAATATTTTTTATGTGGGTGTATTTATATATATATATACAAAATAATTATACACAGTGCACCCACATATATTATGTAAACACAAACTTTTATTTTGTGTGTGTGTGTGTGTGTGTGTGTACCAGATTCAAGCAGCTGAGTGTGTGAATAAATGCTTTTGTTGTAGAACTGGATGTAGATGCAGTAAACACCAGCCATCAACGCCAGAGTTCCTACAGCAGCGGCGATGAACACGGCCAGCTTGTTGTTGTTCAACGTCAAATGAGCATCTATCAGAAGAACACACACACAGACAATACAATGTAAAAAATAATAATAATCAAATAATAAAGGAATGAAATAAAATAGAATAGAGGTGAACAAACATGCATTAGATGATAGTGTCTGTGTGTGTGTGTGTCTTACAGGTATCTTTCAGTGTGATGTGATCATGCTGATCTGAGGTCAGTTCTGTTTCTTTTGCCGGGTCGGTGTTGATTTGGTTCTGACCCAAACACACATTCACACACAGCAGCACCAGAGTCCACTTGAGCATCCTGCAAACAGAGAGAGAGCAAACCAATGCAAACAAGCAAACCAATGTACTTGATCTATAAAAATAACTAGTAACGAATTTTACGAGGTGGGTAATTCGTTCAAATTAGTACGATTTTTGCCCAATAGGCAATCACGTCACTTTGTAGGCCAAAACGCGGAAGTGAGTTAGCATTTTAGCACTCCCGGTTCCCTCGCTTTAATGTCTATGGGATTTTTGGATGGGTTTTTGCTAAATCGCCTGAAATAAGGTCTGTGGTGAACAAAGCCTCTAAATATTCTCACGTTTTGATCTATGACATAGAACACACATATAACCTGTTTGTGTTTTTTTTAAACTTTATTGTGTCTGCTTGTGTTTTTAAAAAATTTGGATTAACTTGTAAAGATATCTTGATAGACAAAACGTGTAAGGGGTCACAACTCTTTGTTAAACACAGATCTTATTTTTTATTTTTTTTGCGATTTTCCAAAAGTCTATAGGGAAAATGTATAGCTTTTCGATCGAGGGAACCAATCAATGCGCCGCTATTTTTTTTTTTTTTTTTTTTTTTTTATTGCAGAAAGGTAACAATCAATGCGCCGCTAACTTCCGAGCTGTCCTGCAAAGTGACGTCATCACTTCGAATGAATGACCTATCCTATCCTTGACCTAAACCTACCCATCACGTTGGTATAGACAAATCGTACGAATTAGCCACTTTTTAATCACTCGTACAAATCGTTCGCGAGATAGCGTTGGATAATGAAGAACTAATGAGAGAAAATCATCCAGAAGACTTCAGTGTCCTCTAGTGGCCATGAGCAGAACAGCATTCAGTTTCATCCTCTGAGACTCAGGTCAGCCTGAAGACTTCGCATGATTTCAAGATTTTCTTTCGCAGTTCACATAATCCAACATTGAAAATAACGGAGTAACAAATCATCATATTAGAGTAATTTGTGAAGGATCATGTGACACGGAAGACTGGAGCAATATGCTGAAAATCTAGATTTGATCACAAGAATAAATTACTTTTTAAAATATATTAAAATAGAAAACAATTGTTTTAAATTGTAATAATATTTCACAATGGTACTGTTTATTTTGCATTTTCATTAAAAACAATAATGCTTCCAAACTTTTGATTGGTACAATTTCAATTCAATATACATCACTCAATTCAACTGAATAATTTGTATAGCATTCATAAAAGTTCTCAGGCAGTGATGCTTCAGATCTGAACACAGCACTGAACACGTGTTCAGAAAAGAGCCATCATCCTGTTATTGAGAGATGCTTTTTGCCAGACAAATTTTTGCATGTCAATGTAAAGTTTCTACATTTGCCTCCATATACTAGAAATTCTACTACAAACATCATTACACATTTTATTCTTAAACATTAAACAGTCACTATTCAAATTTTCTTGGCCAGTTTATGAATTATGCGCATCACTTTTTCATAATTTAATGCTATAGACACTTTAATCATTTCAGTTCAAAAAAGCAGACTAAAATACAGATTTAGCTTTAGTTAAAATTTCTCCTTGAAAGAAGACAACTTAAACAGTGGTGGGGTAAGTTGTGCCAGTTGGTTATGATTATCATTATTTGCTAACAGAAATTATAATAATTCAGTTTGAAAGGCAAAATCAGTCGAGATGCGAGAGCCGC